CTACAGCTTTTTCAGCAATTTTAGTAGATTCAATTTCGATATTCATTTACATAATTTAGGTTTCCATTTGTCTTACTTTGTTCCACAACTCTGCATTCTCCATAAACTTCTTGTCCAATTCTACATTCTTATTTGATAACTCCTTCTACAATTACTCTGTATTGTCTGCTCTTCTTAAGGGAGGGGCTTTACGATCTTTATTGGAACCAGACAATAGCTATTGTGAGTTTTATTAAGGTAACTTTTTCTCCGAATCTTATTTAAGTCTCCTAACTAGGAACCCAGATACAAATTTCATCATGACTTTATATGTTTCATGCTAAACATTCTAATAACTCTCATTCACATATTCTAAAAACTCATTTAAGATATTTGGTATCATGTCTTGTTGAATTTATTATTTTTAAGTGTCCAATATAACAGTTTCGAGATCCATTGTCTTTTAAATCATTTACTTATGCACTCCCTTTAATTTATCAGTAACCTATTATGTTTATAAGGAATATCGATAATCGATTCTTTCATTCAGGAATTTCTAGAGCTCCATCGAATGTTTATCACTATCCTGCACAATCTCCTACAATTTGCTTTCATGATATTCCTATAAAATAATTATAATAAGGTGTACCTTCTTAAAATTTCTCATAACCTCCAAGATATCAAGATTAGTATCAGTTCCTTATGATATGCATAACTTTATTTTTGGATCATATCGTTTCATCACAATTTACACATTTAGTTTATTGCTTTGCTTCAAGACTTCATTTAAGATGCATTTCTGATTATCATCTAGTTCGTATTGCACCCTTGATGAATTATTCAGAGTCCGATCAGTTTGTTATTCAAATGAATTCAATCGGATAGATGGCAGGATATTAGAATTTTTGCTGCTTAATTAACGATTCTTGATTCTCTCATTTTCAGCTAATGGTGATTGGAAGCCTCCAACTCTAGCCCCACCCAATCTCCCAGTTTGTCCTCCTTCCATCAATCTCTTTTTCATTCGTTACATTATGTCTGCCCTAGACAGAGGCTCAAGTTCCTGCTCGCCTTCCGTATGCATTTGATTGTTAATCTAAATCGATTTCAATACGTCCTTCCAAACTTAAGTATATTTGTTGATTGCTTGACTATAATCATTTTAATCTCTAGCTTAAAGCATATAACATAGTTCATTTGAAGTATGTTCTAAGTCTTACAGAAATTTAGGTAAACTTATAGAACTCCCTTGCTTAAGCACATTCTTGCTCAAACCCATAAGAAATTCTCCTATCTTCTCTAATGTAGCCTTCTCTTACTAAGAAGCAGGCGTAAAAATCATTAAGCGAATAAAATATATAAAATATCACTAAGTAAACCTCAATTCTGTATATGTTTCCTCAAAATTTTCCATTTTCTTAAAGTCTCCAATATCCTTACATCTTTTACATTCACTACTTAAATTATTTAAGATTGGCCATTCTCTCCACTCTTAAATATTTTACTACCATGGTAATCTTCACGTAACTTAGATTTCTATAATTATCCAACCTATAAATAATTAACTTATCAAATTCCAGTGCAAATTCAGTATTTATAGATAAAAAGTATTTCTGATAAAATCTTAGTCTTTTCCCTTTCTCGCTTGATTTTGAAGAATATACTTCAATTTATTAATCTTAAAATTATATCATATTATTAATGAATTTCTTATTGGTCCTTCTATAAAACCAGAATGTATATTAAATTCTTAGGATGATTATCCATTATCTAAACATCTTTATTTAGGATATTAGCTTCAACTTTTCCTAATATTTCAAATTCCTTTTGTAACTTTTTTGATCTCTCCCAAGAAAGTACTTTTTTGTCTTTCACTATTCCACCATAGTGATTTATCTTTCTTTTACAAAGTGAAGTTACTTCTTTTTAAATCTTATGTCTGTTTCATGTTTAAACTATATCCCTAATCTCATCTCTAAGCATAACTTATTACTCTTAAATTTTCATAACTTTTCATTATATAATTCATATCCAATACCTTTTAATTCCATTAGGTATTCAACATATTTTATACTATTTACAATTTGGATTCAAAAATTTATTAGACAAACCTGCTTTCGTAAATTTAATGGTTCTGAATTCAAACTCCCAAAAATCAATAATTTTCGATTTTATACTCTTCAATTATAGATATATCATATTTTATTCAATATCTTTACAATCCACATAATTTACAGATTCTAATCCTTTTTGTTATTCTTAGATATTATTTTCTCTTTTTCTCTCAAATTATTTGGATTCTTCTTTTGTTCCATTATTTAGAATAAAATTTATCAAATCTTTTGAAACTGTTCTAAATGTTATAATAACATTAGAATTTTGAATAAAAATAATTAAAATCTTATTTTCCTTATTCATCTCAATTTCCTAATATTACAGTGCAAAACTGATCCAACTAAGGAATTTTGTTCCAATCCAAATATAGTCTCAAAAATAGCTTATGTCAGATTTCCACCATTCTTTTCTTTTTGAAAACTTTTCTAGGTTTTAATTCAAACAAAATTATAAAATCAAATTATAATTAAAATTCTAATACAGCCAGATTGAGTAATACTAGTGTTGTCAAATGGATGATTCTTTTAATAATGGGATTGTTCTATTTACTTAAAGAACTAACAAATATTACAAATTATTTATATTATTTCTATATTTGGTGATTTAAATGAAACTGATTAATTATATTATTTAATTTCTTATGTAATCAGAAATTGCTGTATGTTATTAACCATCGCTAGAATATTTAAACAAAGAATTAGAGTAGTTAAAGTTTTAATGTAATTTAAAGTTGCTTTAGAAAAAAGTAATTTTGTTATTTGGTTTTCCTTCAATTAAGGTGGAAAGCGACAGAATTCACACATATTTATAAGGAATATACAATTTAAGTTAAAATGAACAACTTAAAAAAATAAGAGTCTTAATAAGCTTCATTGGGGAAGTCACTTCAATAAATAATTGGGAGGACAGAGACCTTATCATCAGATAGAGAGTTCTGTAATTTCTTAATATTCAAGGATTAGAAGTAAAGTGGACTGAATAATAATGGTAAGATGAAATTGATTCTATTGTTACGCTTAGAATAAACAACCCTTATTATGATACCATCCCAAATAAAATGTTTTCTTACGTAAATTTATTCCATACTCTTGGCATTGAATTGCCAACAGAATTGAAATATCTTGAACATCAATCATTCAATCAAATATAGACTTCTCAACTAATAGATGATTTTCACTTGTTATGTAATATAGATGAATTTAACATTGTTAGAAAGATAAGGTAATTTATCGAAAAGTTTACAGATAAGCTTGATGAATTTATGAGTCTAATTATTAATATTGAAAGCGTACATCAATCTGAATTACATAGCATAACAAATAGGTATTAAACATTATGCAACCAATTACAGCACATAATCATCTCATTTACTTCTTAAATGACTAGACACTAGGAAGCCGAAGATTAATAAAAATAATAATTAATTATAGATGAAAATTTCTAAGAATAAAATAAAAAAATAAGATTCAAAAAAACAATACCTGCAGCTTCTTCAACTACCATCATCTAAAGGTCATTTGGTTCAAAAGGTTTAAAAGCAAAAAAATAAAAGAGGAAATTACAATTAGTCGAACAATTAAATTGCAGATAATCTCTCTTGTATTTAAGTGGCTCAGTAGAAAATTGTTTTAGATAAGATGAAATTAAGTTGAGTCAAAATTCATCCCAAATTTATGATAATGAGAATAGCATTGATTTAATATCATAATTCTAAGATTAATTATTAAAGAACGCAGGCCTTCAAAATTATAATTCATCTGACTACTCTCTGGAAAACATAAAATCAAAAATATTAACTTATGAATATCTACAATAAAAACTTGAATAATTAGGATATCCTAGTATTAATTTGGATGAAAAGGAACTAATATCTGTACTAGAAGAATATAAACTCTTTAATTAAGACAAGAAAACCTTAGTTGTTAAGTTAATTAATATAATATCAGAATCTTTTATCAGTAAGAATGAGGGTTTGGATGCTACCTTAGAAATAAGAGATTTAGCCTTAAAATATCTATCATAAATATCAATCGACTATCCCATATAAGAGCTAAACGAAATCTTAAAATCTTAATGCATACCAGATTAAAAAATGTAAGACTTTGGTAATTTAAAGAGTCAAAAATTCTCTTATTTAAAATTATCATAAATATTAAATCGAAAATTCCCAGAATAAGTATATCAAATAAGATGTTCATCAACAAATTAAATATTTTAATAATGGAGTATAAACCAATTACTTGATATCTTTAATTTTTATGATCTTCAAAATATTAGAATTACACGATCATATATCCGTTAAGTATTCACTTGTTTACAGAAATTGATCAATTTTAAAGAGTCATTGGATGCAAATATTGATGCCATCAGAATTTAAGAGTTTAAATAAATGGAGAAATAATTTCTGGAAGTAATAAATCAACCTTTAAGTTTTCAAATCAACTCTTAGTATTTGGAGAGTTCAAACTTAATAAATAAAGAATATTCTTCTAATTCAATTGATCTTTTTATAGAAAGACTAAAAGGTTAACCTCCATTAATTTCAGAGCTTGATAAAATATAGGAGTTATCAAAGCTCTAAAAATAAGAAAATGCTTAAATTTGTAGATTAACTTAAGATGAATATTTCTCGTAAAATTTTAATTAACCAATCATTTCAGATTATTTCAATTTTTTGTGTTTTTACAATTAATCTGACTCTCCTAGATTCAGCTTTATAGATAAATCGTAGTATTAATCCGATGATCAACAATACAATTCATTTGAAGAAGAATATTTTTCTTGATCATTTGAACGAGTTTGATGAAATTTTTATACATAAAATTCTAAAAATATTTATAAAATTTAATTCAACTTTTTAGAAATGAGTAAATTAAATCTCAGTAATAAATAATGTTATAAGAAACTCAATGTTATTGAAATGGAACTTTTGGTTTTTTAGCAGAATCACTTCTTTTTAGCATAAACCCTTTCTATGAATACTATATTAAATATTTACTGTTGTTTAGCGATTAATACTAGCCAATTAAGTAGCTAGATTTTAAGCAAATTATTTAGATGATTCATCTCCAGAGTTTACTTGAGTACGATATCTCATTTAAGCAGTTTTAACTCCATTGGATTAATTTTTGAGGTTAACTTAACTAGTTTTCCTTGAATTCGATAGAGATCTGCTAACAGTAGCAGTGGTTTTAAATTATGAAGTCATGAGAGGATTGAAAATATTTGTATTATCCTGGATCTTAGATGTTACCTAATACTTTTGTTTTAGAATGGTTATGGGCTAGTGTTTTTGTTTAAGTTCCTCTTGAGTGAGTCTAGCCTATTGATTAAGAATTTAATTCATTAAGAATTCTACTCTTTATTTTACATCAGTCGAATTTGATGGGTTATTAGCCTTTTTGAGAAATAGTTGTTGTTGCAAAGGTGGAGACTTATCTTTTTCATCCTACATCGTGTCCAATTTCTTATCTGAGTCTGGTTAAGTGAAAGTATGCTTTTGAGGGAAGAGGATTTACTTTTTAACTATTATTTATTATTAAATCTTTTAGAAAGTTGTCTGAGTGTTTTAAGATTATTTAGTTTCCGTTTCTCTGGATTGTGATTATTTGTTTTAATTAGGGACTTTGATGACGATGACAACTTTATTGGAGAGAGTCGATTTGTTGTTATAGGGATGTGGTTTCAATAGCTTTGTATGATATTCGATTTCCTCATCTTCTGGCTAAATTATGTTGCAAATAGATTACAATAGATTATTTGTCTACTCCATATAATTTTTGATAGACTTGATAAATCTGATTAAAGATAGCACTAGAATGTGGAACATAGGTGTAGAATATTTCTACAGCTTTGCCAAGCCATATCTCTACAGTTAGTTTATTGGATTGATTGTTGATGAATCTAAGCTCAGTTGAAATGCTATAGAAACTCAATCCTGTCAACATGATCTAATGAATAGATTGATAATATCTTACTAATTCTAGGATGACTTCTTCGGCCATCACCATCTCATAACTATTAATAGGGAATAACTCCTCTAAATCTACATAAGTTAATTACATCAATCCTAAAATTTACATTTGCAACATAGGATGATTATCATCAATTACTGTAAATAGTTTATTTTGTGAATTATTTTATGGTTGAAATATGTATTCTGAAGCAAAAAGTGATTGACTCCGATTCTGATAACTTCGAATCATTAAATTTTGAATATTTATAACATCATTAGGTTTTTCCTCGTTGGGTAGCATACTCGTAATAGAACCCAGTATTTCTTTGAATACAATCTCTACAATTTGTGGATAGGATAAAACTTGGGACTGTTGCGAAGTTATGTTGGTGGTTTAGGATGTGTAAATTTTTTGTAAAGCAGAATTAACTTCTGAATTGGCTCTTTGTTTTTTATTCATTAATGACATTACAGTTATTTATTGACATAATTTTATAGTATTCTATATAATACTCTTTAAGATTCTTAAAGTCTTTTTGGCCTTTTCTAAGGCCTGTTTATTTCTGAGTTAAAATATAGATTTTACTTTTTTGTTTCAGAAAATAACAATGTAACTTGAAAGACGAGTCTCAATCTTAAGAGTTTGTTTTGGATTATTTATGCTAAGTTTAAACTTTCAGACGAACTCTTTTTGAGTGCTTTGCCTTTGGTCTTGAGAATCTAATCACAATCTAATAATATCTCCAAGGCTTCATTTTGAGCTGCGTATTTCTTAAGTATGATGGCATAATTTATTTTTGTGAATAAAACTGATGTGTATTAAACTTGGATCCTAAGGTAAGAATTTGAGTTACTAATTCTGTGTATAAAATTCTAACAGCTTTGCTACTCGGTTATGATACTCCAAGGCCTAATATTCAGAGATATCTTCTTATATGGCCATGTTGGTAAGATCAGTCAGAATGAGATCTGGAACATCAGGTTTTAGGTATATAATTTCCTCATGCTCTTCAGTCTAATGATTATAAAAATAAGGACTTACTTGAACGAGGTAATTCTACTCTGTATTTAACAGTTCTCGTTTGAAAATGATTTTTTTCTATCTAACTATATCTAAGGGAGATTTATTTGATAATTAAGTGGGGGTCAGAACATTTTTTTGATGGAAGGTGTGAGCCTCCAATTTAATCATTTATTATTATAATTTATATATATATCTGATGGTTATCAAAATGTCCTTTTAACCATGATATTATAGAAATCTTCTCTGGTGATTTCCCTTCCATTCGAAGCTGCCCGTTCCAGCATCTCTGCTAACTCTTCTGCTGTCATCGTCTCACCCAATTCCTTAGCAACCTAATACAATTTCAATCTCCAATCATTACTCTTTTCAAGTTATTCAAATTAATCGAATTGCTACCATCATCATCAAACAAATCAAATATTTTATTTATCCCGTCCCTATTTTCTCTGTTTCCCAATTTCGATGTAATCGCATCCAAAAATTAGTCAAAATCAATATCAGTTCTATCTCTAACCTCATACTACATACCCTTCGTTTTCCAATTCAGCAATCATATTAAATATAGTTGGGTTTTTTTAATCAAATCCCAAACTTTGCATAGCTGCTTTCAATTCTCTTGGATCCACTCTCCCCGTCCCTTCAGTATCAAACAAATTGAATGCTTCTCTTATTTCATCAATCTCATCATCAGTCAGTCCAGGTCTTCACATTTCAAACATCATACATTACCTCTCCTGTGGTTTACGAGCATTTCCCTATTTTTAAGGTTATTGCTTTTGAGTTACAGGTACTTGAGCCTAAGGCTTGCTTCTCATATCTTGATTTTAAATATAAAAATATATGTTTATATTGCAATCTATTCAATGGATATTCTAAATCAAATAATAATAATGTAATAAAATGAATGGATGATTACACTTAATAAACCAAGATCAAGAATTCTAAGTAGAAGGAAAATCAATTGAAATCAATTCAATATCATTAGACTCATCCTCAGAATTCTGTTCTAAATTTAAAACTAATCCAAGATCAATGTAACACTCACTTACAAAATCTAACTATTAGAAAATGATCATCCTTTATAAGAGATGAGTGTTCTTTTCTTTAGGATTGTCAAACACTTAATTTACAAATACTCATGGGAAACAATAAATTAATATTAAAAGTGACTTTGTAATAAAAATAAGTTCTCAACTTCATCTGATTTGGACAAATTCACCTATGAGCATTTATTGAACGAATAATTCTAAAAAATTGTAATAATCTAAACTGATTAATGTGAAACTCAACACAAATTGCAACTCCAAATCCAGGGAGTTAAATTGAGAGAATACTAAAAATTATTGAATTAAGGATTCGAAAGTTTAAACGCAAGCATAAAGGAGGCAGAACCATCTGGTTTTGAATTTTATAAGATGAAACTAAATTTTATATATAATACTCCTTTTGAATTGCATTTTAAGTCAAAATAGATCAACGGATGCAATAAGGTTGTTATAATGGATTTAGAAATACGATACTTTGATTAAATAATTTATATGAATAAAACATTCTATCAAATGGATAAGTAACTAGAAAATGTTGCACTAGATTTAATTTAATTTTTATACTTGGCAGGAACATAATAATCCAAAAGATTAGACAATATATCATATGACTTAATTCCTTTATACTCCTTCTCTCTAATGTCATCAAAGACTCCTAATCCATCAACTAAACCATATTTTAAAGCCTATTAGCCAGTGAGCAAGGTTTTATTCCACATTTCCTAATCAACTTTCTAGTTTCTGTTTTACATAATCTCCGCTTTTAATCTTGATTCTCTATGTTTTAATTGGCCTTCCATCCTATGATCATCATTATAATTTTTACCATTTAACATCTTCTTCTTTTAAATCATCATAAGGACTTAATTTCACTTTTTTTTCTCCGCTATGAATGAATTTGTGTTCTCTAATTATTATGATCATATAATGTTACATCCCCAAATTTTCCATTAATTGTTTATATCCTAATCTTCTTTACACATATCCAAAATCTCCAATGACAGAATATTCACTAGCAAAGTTTTTATCTCCAACAGTCATTAAGTACACAGAACTGTTCAATACAAAATCTTCTCCAAATGTGTATAAGGGTACTCTGTAAAGAAATAGTATTAAACTTACTTATAATATTTTGCATAATTTCTAATTGCAATTGCAATGTTTTTAGATTAAACAAATGAGCCTTCTCCATGTATATGAAGAGTCACTAAATTTGGCTTAATTAATTTGGTATCCTTTATGCTTTTATATACTTTTTAGGTTCTAAATTAAGAAATTAGTTTATACAGTTTTTCATCAATTTTGCCATAAATTTTAAATTAGACAATTCTTGAAAACATTAAATAAATATTTCAAATTCAAACTATAAAATGGAACATCTGAGCAATGCGCCAGATTAAAAGTACAGAACTATCAATTAAATTTTAGATAAAAATAAGGGAAAGGTGGGTATAGGATAGTAAATTACAGTCAAATATTTGTGGAGGTAAAGATTATATTTTTATCACTACTTCTCTTAAGGTCATTTAATAGAAACTGTTACTTACAGAATATGCCAATCAATTTATTGCTTCATAAATTGAAATCCTGAAAAAATATTTGATTCACATTTTGATAAATTGGTAGACATATTTTAAAGTTCTGTTTATACTTATGTCATCACTTAATTTTGCAATCACGGAGATCTAAGAGGATTTCTAAAACCATAAAGTACTATATCTTAAATAAATAGAATGATACCTGAAGAGGAAACGCTCAAATTCTTAAAAGATCTTTATCAGGAATTAAGGCTTTACTGAAATAAGATATCATCCATCGGGGCAGAGAATCATTCTTAAAGAAATGTGTGCTGCCTCTTTTTTATTGGAAACATCTTTGATTCTTAATATAGTTAAATAGTGGTAATGATTGCTCAAGAACAAAAATGAGACTATAATTTCACTCTACTAAGACTTCAAATAGTTATCTCTATCTATGGATATAACTCTAATTGAGAAAATCAAATAGTATTCAAGTATAAAAATATCAATTAAATATTGAATCAAATCTATTAAGAGAACATAAAAATTTATGACTATGGTGTTATATACATTCAATTAAATTTTATATAGTTCTAATATTTGTTATCTATATTTATTTCTAAATAAAACTACATAAAAATAATCAAATATTTATCATTACGTCATTTAGATATTCTTAAAGTAGCAATTTTCATCAAATTTCACTATTTAAATTATGAAATAATTTAATTAAATCCTATTCTTGATTGTAATAGTTGTTCCAACAGTAATTGCAGTGAAAGGAGTTGATTTGAGTGCATCCTTCAATAACTTTTTTTGCATTAAAAATGCTGGCTATTAATTTGCTATTGTAAGAGGATATATGAGTTATGGTGCTGCTGATACTGTAGGTCTCCAAAATTTAAGAAATGCCAAAGCATCTGGATTGATCGGAGATGCATACTTTTTCCCATGCAAAGGAAGTATAAATAAAAATCCTATTTTCTTAAGAGAAGACAGCTTCAGCTTAAGTGTCTGAATTCGACGATGTATTTACTTCAGAGTATGGTACAGTGTGGATTGATGTTGAATACAACCCCAGTACTGGATGTGGATGGAGCACCTCAGATTATTCAGGAAATTGTCAATTTTTATAAGACATAGTGAGAGAGTTAGGTAACAGAGGAAGATTGGTTGGAATTTATGCATCATAATATCAATGGTCAACAATTATGGGATCAGCTTCAGCCTGTGCTTATTTCACTTCAAAGCCTCTTTGGTATGCCCATTATGACAATTCTCCCTCGTTTAGTGACTATTCTAAATATTCTTTCGGTGGATGGTCCACTCCATCAATGAAACAATATTAAGGAGACACAACCTTGTGCAATGTTGGAGTTGATCTTAATTTTTATTGAACAGTTAATTATAAATAAGGAGAGTTAAAGTTATGATTTAATAATATTTAATAATGATAAATATTAAATATTATAAAATGAACTAATATAATTGTTTTACATCATTTTATATATATATATAAGTATAAATGATAGTAGTCAATTTATCTTGATCAACTTCATTTGTATCAACTGGATCTTCTCCTATTCACTAACCACAAAGGGTGAACCATTCTCATCCAACAAACACAATCCCATATCGCAATCAATTAAATGTTTCTCTGAATCATAGGTGCATGTCAAAACTCTATCGTTTTTCCCTAGATACAGCAACCCTTTGAAATTTAATTTAATAATTTTATACTTCTTTTAATTGCCTTTGTTAATGCATTGACCATTGGCAAAGGTGCCGATTTTCCTCTGCTTTTACAAGACATTTATCCACTCAAGTTTTCAATTAATAGTTTATTGATGTTAGTTAGTTAAGATTTCTTAAAGGGATTTCTTGGGGGACTTTAAAACTCTTCAACTTAAATTATCTTTTTGGTTTTACTGAAACCACAAGTTTCGTTAATTTCAAAACTCTCATTGGAATCAAGCAATGAATTTTCATTAAAATCTGCAAAATCATCCAAACTTATTTCATTTTTCTTGTTGACAACGCTTAATTGTTTCTTAGATTTCTAATTTGCTACAGCAGTAGAAGTGGAAAAGAAACTATTTTATTTGGCCTAAGGAGATAATTGTAAAGTCAATTAAGAGTTAGTATTTTTCAATTTCGTAATTTCAGATTGAAATTATGAAACTAAGAATTGTTGTTAAGTCAATTGTTTACTTAATTCTTGCTTCTCCTTTTCAATCTATTTGTTTTTTTACTTTAATTATGTAATAGTTTCAATAGACTACTGTTACAATTGCTAAAACCTATTTTACAAGTTAGTGAAATGTTAACTGAGTTATTTACTCTCGTGCTTATTGCTATTATTTTCTTAGTCTCTTTCATTAATTGTATCATACATGTGTTGCAATTTTTGATTGACTTACTATGTTAGATGCATTAAAGTGTTTTGGATTTAATTTTTGATTTATTATAATTCATCGCTCTTTTCATTATTAATTTTATTTAACAATTAATGAGCCTACTACAATTGTAATTAGTATTAATTTTATAATTAAGCAATTTATACTTAAATAGTCTATTCTACTTTTTATCTATCAGCCTTAGAATTCAATTTAGAGTTCAAATTCTCTACTTCTTATTTGAAATGTTATTCATCCTCATTCAATCTTATTGATGTATTAGAAGATAGATTTTTAACCAAATGTTCACTCTGTTTAGTCTTCTATTCGAAATTCTCCTATAGTTCCTTAATCTGTTCATTTAGGTTATTTTGCAGATTGGAGACTTTCCTATCAATTTCCAACGTAAATTATTAAGTATAATCATTCTAAGTAATGTTTAGATCAATGTTGGTTAATTTGTGTCTTAAATCTTCCTAAAATTTCTTGAATTCAACATTAAATCTCTCTTACAATTATTAATATTGATGAACTTTCTCTGATAATTGAGTTTGTAATTGTTGAATTTATTCATTCTATTGTTTGATAATAGTTGATTGATTTGTGTCATCCTATTAAACTAAATTCAATTGGGCTGAGGATCGAACCTTACTCAATTCACAAGGCTTTTGCTGCTGTTCAGTTTTCAGTGCCACACTCTATTAATATTATTATTAGTTGTAATAAGCAACAGTCTCTTAGAGCGGTTTTCGAATTGGCGGGCTAGAACCTCTAAATTGCCATAAAGTCAAAGACATTACCTTTGTTGAGGGTATTGAACATATTGTAATTGCGGATGAGGTAATTTTTGCTCTTATGAGACGCATCGCATGATTTGTCTTGGTTCCAAGCTTTACTGAATGGAGGAAGGTCTTAAATGGCGCTATTCGATAGGCTGTTGATATGCTGCATTACCAAATGCTCTTACGGGTATGCGAGAGAGCTTCATATGTAATTTTGTTCTAACGATTAAAAAATAATTAAATGAAATTCGCTGAATTCTTATTAAACAATATTATTCCGGAGTGGACATTAATGTATTTGAATTATAAGGCCGTAAAAGCCTTTTTATCTACTTCTGGAGCTCTCAAAGATTTCCTATTCTATGCCAAAAAAACAAAGAGCACTGAAGAGTACAGGGATATAAAGAAAGTCGTTATGGAGAAAACTTATATCATATCAAAAATCTTGGCTGATCAGAAGGAATTCAATAAAAAATTCAGCCAAGAGTTGTCTAAGATAAGATCCTTTATCAACGCAAAATATAATGATTTGAAGGGCAAGACTTATAAAATTTAATTATAAATTTTGTCTATGAATAGATAAAGGAGATCACTAGAGAGGAGCAAAAAGCGTTCAGTAATACAAGTAAATTCCTAGGTAGCCGAAGAATTAAATGAGTAATTAACTAACAAATAAATCAAGGTCTAAGAGTCAGACTTCAATTAGAAATGCATTAAGTTGAAAGAATTATGTTTTTAACTCTATAACGAAGGAGGGAACTTTGAGAAGTATTTAAAAATCAACCAAGAAGCTATTCGTAAACTTTTAAAGAAATAAATTAAGAAATCCATTAAGATGAATTCAGAATAAATAACTTTGGATGAATATAAGAAATTGGCTTCAGAAATCAATTTTGAATAACAACAAAATAAAGTCAAATAGTTGTTATTTCAAGTCGAGAAATACCTATTAAAACACTTCTATTAAACCAAATAATAAGTATGTAAGGAATAACTTCGTAAATATCAATTTCAAAATTATAAAAATAATAACGCCTGGTTTTAGTTTGGTCTATTCACAGGCTTTTCATTGATGCTAATGTGTTTCATCATAATCTTAGCAAGTCAAAAATAGTTGAACATTTTGAACAACACTATTATTTATGAACAATTTCCTATTTACAGAGGAGCCTTGTTGTTTATCCTATACTATTGGTCCTTAACTATAGTTATTTACTTATGGAATAAATCCAAGATTAATTATAAATTATATTTCTGCTTCAATCATCATTTCTCTACGATTAACGAGTAATTGAAAAGAGTGATGAGCTTGACCTCCATCTTTTTGCTAGTTAGTCTCTTTTATATATGTGATGTTTCTAAAATGGGCATTATATTTTCAAATCTTAAAGGAGAGGAGTACTTCCCATTGATAATCTGGATTTCTCTTTTGGCAACAGTTGCATTTCCTTCTAAATTTGTTATTAATGGACAAGGTCGATTGTGGTTTTATCGTAATTTGTGGCAAAGCGTAAATCTGAAACTAATAGAATAACGCCATTTTTTCATATTCAGCCAGTTCACTTCATTAATTATCCCATTTAGTGACCTCGCTTATACGATTTGTGAATATTCAAAAGGAGTACGTAAATTGATTAATATTAATAGATCAACAATCAAGAGGAGACTGACTTTAACTAGTACGACGAATGCTTTTTTATTTCTAGATATTTCACATTGGCATTGGTGTTGATCCCTTACTTCATTCTGATGATTTAGATCATATTTTTGACTTAAAAGAAGATGAACGCCAACCTTTTCGTAATAGAATTCATAAGAAACATATTTTCCATTGTTCTGATTATCTTCGCCACTTTATCCTATTAGGAATCTAGCTTTTTTTATTATTGGTTGGGAATGGCTATTTTTATTGCGTTTTTGAATATCGTATCTAGTATTAAGAAATGGAGTTATTTGGATGTCAAAGAAAAGAGAAAAAAGAAATAAATACTTTCTTATAAATAAAAATTATTAATAATATACCTACCCTTTGGAATTCTCCAGCCATTGGCAATATCCACCTCTATCTTTGGGTGCTTCGATAAGAAGGAACAACACAGTCTCCTCATCTTGTATATAGGCATAGTAGAATTGATACGAAGTAATTATCACATTGATATTTAGGAATGATTATCAACTATTACATTGTTGATGCTGAGCACTTTAGACACAAGCAGAAGTATCAATCAGTTGGTGAGTATGAGTTTCCTTTTGAAGATTGTTGTACCAAGATACAACAATAACAACTATTGTAAGAGAATAAGAAATTCTATTTAGATAATATGAAATTGAAGATAGTGAAGATGACGAGAAGGACTTGAGAAGAGAGGATAAAGATTAGATCACAGAAATTGAAGTTATCATCACTCAAATTGAACCAGAAGATTAAAAAAGAAATGATAAAGGACTTGCCTCATAGGGAAAATTGGCATCAGACTAAGTTGAGAATCATAATTAGAAGGGAGCTAAGTAATTTGGAATATCTGAACTGGTAGTTAAGGAATCTGAAAAAGGTTTGGGAGAGAGCTTCTTCAATTACGATATTAATGACTTTAAGCCGGATGAATTGAATCAGATTATCAATTGTTAACAAATATCAGAGAGCGATATGTAGAGTTTGCACGTCAATAATAAGAATTCTAAGGAGGAAATAAATAAATTGTATGAAGAGTTCGGTATCAAAATGAAATGATGAATAATTATGTATAAGTATGAGTTGGTTTTTATTACAAAAAAAATCAAATAATAATTAACGTTTATAAAATGAGTTAACGAGATTTGAGTAATTTGATTTCAATCAATCCCAACGATCCCCAGCAATATTAAGACTTGCTGGCTTATTATCGATCTAAATTGGGAGAATTCGAGAAGGAAAGATTTGAGTGGTTAACAAAGTTAGAGGAAATCAAAATTTAATATGAGGACAAACATCAATAGGAATGGGAATTACTAAAGAGGAAATAGGAGATCAAGGAGTTGTAATAAACAGTGGGAGAGGCGAAAGTACATATAGAAATTGATGAATTTAGTTAATGCTATTCGAGGAGAGATAAGCCAGATTGAAGTTGTAAAAGGAGAATGACGCTTTGAAAGTGAGAGAATTGGAGGATAAAAAGAAGATTGCTGAATTGATGGCTATGATTGAACCCATTGAGGAATAAGTAGTATTATCAAAAGATTTAAGACCTGAAGTAACTACAAAATATACAGGTGACACATTGGCCGTAAGAGAGAAGCAGGGGAAGTATATTGAATCAATTAAACTATTTAGTGTTAAGATGCACAATATCAACCAAGGGAGGAGCATATTAAAAACAGTGTATATGCCAAACGAATAGTTGAATGCATATTAGTTGGAGAATGAAAATTTGAAAAAATAAGTTGAAAATGCAGAAACTATGTTGACTCAATAATTCGCAGCTTTGAGGGAGGAATTGAGAGCAAAGGAAGTGGAAACCAATTTAAGAATAAAAGAAGACCAATAGAAATTAGATTAATTGGTTTAAAAAATATAAAAATTGGAGAAACAAAATGTAGAACTTGTTAAAGGTATATTTCATAAATATAACTTATTATAGATTGTTATGTATAAAAATAGAAATTTTAGAATAAGGAGAGGTAGATGCAAGAGGATTTGGAAGTGGCAAAGTTGAAGAATAAGAAATTGAAGATGGAATTGGATTAAATCCAAAAGAAATACAATATTGAAAATAAGACAGCATTAGAATTGCTTGAAAAGAAGTCTGATGAATACAATAAAAAATTCAGAAGTCAAATCAAATCAAAAGATGAGCAATTGTCAATCATCAAAGAACAATATGAATAAGTTTAGAATATTTATATTAACAAAATATAATAATTGGAAGAGAATCTATCCAAATTAATTGAGAAGTATTATTTCATCATAAATTAGGTATTAATAATTGGAAAAGAGAAGAGCCTTGGAAGTTGAAGGGTTTAAGAATGACATCAAGATTTTGACCAAGAAAGTAAAGGATTGTGAGAAATCACATGTGGAAAAATAAAATGAAAATAAGTCACCTGAAGATTTGGCTAAATATCAGGAAGAAGCCTAGTAACTCAAGTAGCAATTAGCCAAGGAGACAGGCATTATCTATTCTTCAGGAAAGAAGAATAATGCCAATAACAATAATTAACAATAAACTCTTAAGGTGAAGGGCAGTCAATCAAGGGGAGCGTCGAAAACGATGAAGCAAACCCACAAATAAAACAAGAAGGGAATCTAGAGTACAATTTCATAGTTGATTTGTAGATTAAAACGATTAGAGAGAAGATGATGATGCATCTGAATCTGTTCCAATGCATGAGTTGGAAGACTTGCAACGATAATTGGATGAACTACAGTATCAAATGGATGTAGCCAAGAAATAATGAAAATAATATATCAATTTTATATATACTATTTGCTGTTAATCGGCAACTTACTTCTATTTATAAATTTAATTTGTTAATACGTTGGATGCAAATTCACACTTCATCTGCTCCTACCTTGAGTAAGTGCGAATCATTCAAGCATTTATCTCCACAAGCTAAAGAGGCTCTGTTGAGTTTAAAAAAAATAAAGAACTTTGGATTAGAATAGACTGATGATCTGACTAACACTAAGGCAATCACAACTAATACTCATGATAATCCCCCTGCTATATCGGAATCTATGGTAGATTAGGTAGTAAAACATTCTTCATAGAATGAATTTATGGGTTCTTAAAATTTCTCGTTTATTTATAAGTATTCGATTGATATTATGCTTAATAAGCTCCAAATCATTATTGGCATTTAAGAATTCGGTAGTTTTAGATGATCCAACGCCTGATTTTTCTGATGCACTTTCCAGTGAGAGATAACACATAAATGAAACTCTGTAGAGTCAGCAACTCATTTAAAAATAGTTAAAATTAGTTTCAAACTTATAAGTTAAGCAACCCAAAGATCTAATCAAAGAAAATAAATGTTTTATTAGAAAATTCACCCAAGATAAAGAAAATATGCTTATTCAAAATACTAAAAAGAATTATTAACTAAATAGACTAAGTGATTTAATATCGAAAGAAATTAAAAAAAACATTTTAACGCCAACATCAAATAACATTCGCAAAACTTCTTACACAAGCTTAAACACTTAGCATTCATCATAGACTAAATTCAGTTTATAGACTCAATAGGATTATCTCTATAAAAAAGCAATCTGTTTACAAGAAAAACAAAAGACCTTTATAGAGTAAGGGCAAATAATAAACACTACAAAAGAAATGAAAGAATGTACATTCAATCCAAAGATTAATCAAAAATCGAAGGTTACCAATTCCAGTAGTTTTTTTGATAGATAAAGTACATGGATGAGGAAGAAGAATGACAAAATTACTTAATAAGTTTAAATCTAAAAGGAGAAAACTACTAAAGAGGTAATTATTATAATTTAATTATAGTGCACATTCAGTCCTAACTTAAGGGATACCAGTAACAATAGAATTGATAGTTGTGAGATTTATTATAGAAATCTTCAATGGGAAAAGAAATTCAACAAAAAAAAATAACATTTTAGAAATTCAATGATGGATCTTCAAAAAAATGATTTATAAAACAGCACAAGTAAATTGTAATTATAACGATCGAATTCTACGTAGATCATCAATCAATAAACTGATATGAAATAACTGCTCGAAATTTAACTCAAAGTGGATGATGCTCCATAATATCTTAAATGCATGACTCCAACTTATTAAGCTACAGACAAAATCACAACTCCTAAGTCTTAGAGTGGTTATTTGGATCTTGGAAAAAGAAAAAATAGTATTGAATAAATTGAGCAAAAATATAAACTGCTATATGATTTAGTCAATAATGTAAACAAAAGCACTTCAAAAAAGAAAAAGTGAATATTAACTATATAAAATTCTATAATATAAATTTAATTAATTAAAGTAAAGAAATCAAAATTCCAATTATTCTTCTTACTATTGTTAGGGAGAAGCAGAATACGAAAATCCTTAAAAGGGACTCTGCATATGTTCTTCTGTGGATAATGAACTTGTTTAGGAGTTGACAGGTTCCTTGAGGAAACACTAAATATAATGAGAAATCAAAATTACATCATCAAAGTATTAAACATCATCATCGCTGTTTAATATAGGTAGAAATACAGGAGGCATTTGCTTTTTTAACATCATATCCCAATCCATATTCTTAAACCAAGGATGTTTTTTAATCTATATTTAAATATATTTCGACTCCTTACCTCCTTTGCTGAGCTCATTCTATTGTTTGGGTCTTTTTACAATAATTTAGATAACAAGTCTTTCAATTAAGATGAAACACCAATTTTTTTGTAATTTATTTCATGATGAAGTATTTAATTGAATAATTCTTCTTTGGTTTCTCCAAAAAATGCTGGTTAACCCATAACCATTTCATAAATTAATGTTCCAAATGTCCACCAATCTGCTGCTTTACCATGATTACCTGCTAATAATTCTGGAGCCAAATATTCTGCTGTTCCACATTTCGAATGTGCTCCAAAATTACCTTATATCCCTTATTTGGAGAATCCAAAATCGGTTAGCTTAATATAACCCTCTGAATCGATTAATACGTTCTCTGGTTTTAAACTTATTTAAATGGTTTAATGTACTCTCTATATATGATATCTTATTCGTGTAAGTATTAGAAGGCTAGAACGATTTGAGATGCATAGAATTTAGCTCTTTAGATATCAAATATGATATTTACTGTTCTTCTGTCAACTTATTTTTTTAAACTAATAATTGGTATAATTCTCCTCCTGGACAATACTGTAAGCAAAAGTATAACTTAGTTTCATTTTAGAACGCATATTCTAATTTTATGATGAATGGATGTTGGCAATTTTACTATAAATATAAATTCTATTATATCTACAAGAATGTTTCTTTCTGCAAAAATTTGCTTCACAGAATGATTTTCGATCAACTTGGTTTTTTTGATGACTTTTAGAGCATATATCTTTTGATTGTCCTTCTTTCTTACAAGCAAAACCTTTCCGATGGACCCTTTTCCAATGACACTTAAAAGATGGAATTAGTCAAGAGTTACTTTCTTTCGAACTTAGGATAAACTATATATTTAAGGAATAGCAATACTTATGTTATTAGATTAAATAAACTACATTGAGACCTATGTCTTGATCTTGGTTAATTTTCATGATTTATTTGTTAATTTTAATTGTTTTTTCTAATTTAAAAACGAAATAAATAAATAAATAAATAAAAATAGAAAGAACTAATTTCTGAATAATCTATAAATCAGTTCTTCGAGATAATTTCTAGATTTAAAATGAATGTATCGTATAGATAATGTTATTAATTAAAATTGATATAAATAAGGAATTATTTCATATAGACTTTTTCTCTTCTTTTTTAATCTTCTATTATGGCTGTGTTCGAATAGGTTGCTAATTAAAATGAAAGTTTTCTTACTCTCAGGATAATAAATATCAAGATTAATCCAACGCAACTTACAAAAAAGTAAATCTAAATTAATTCTTGTATTGCATGCACCTGTTCTAAGGAGTCGCTACTTGGCAGTTTGTTTAGAAATAACCCGTAGAAACACATTTCAATCAATCCGATTATCCATTGTATGTTTATACAATAGAGAATGCCAAATTCTGGTAATTAGTATGGAATGATCGAAAAGATTTAAGTGCCTATTCCCAAACTATACCCGAATTGCAAGAGAATGAGTGCCCAAAGGGAATTCGAAAACCCTAGGAATGCCAACGCAATACAAATAATTGCTTACCCAATCAAGGTGATAATCTTTTTTCTCTTGATGAAATTATAGAATATCATTTGAAGCACTATCAGGAATATTCCAGTGACAAAGGCGTAAATCCACACATTGTTAACATTTCTATAGCATTTAGTAAGTGGGGAGTAGAGGAAGGAAAAGATTAAGGTTTCCCCAGTGAATTGAGTTAGCACGATTAAGAGGCAGCATTTGAAATACTTCTTCAAATAGGGTTTGGAAATCAGATATTCCGAAGTATTTTGGTGGATGTTGTTTCTGAGTGTTTCTTGTTCGAATCCAAAGTAGGTTTGTATGTTGTCGTTGTGTATTTCCTAATAAATCATTTTGGATCTCCTTGAATCCTTGAGAATTTATAGATAATATTGAGGAGTTTCGATTTATAAAAATTAAAGTAGGATCATTCGAAGAACGCTTACAGAGTTGAGTATGAGAACAACGTTTAGAAATTACTAAAATGAAAATGTAGCCAATTCATTTAAATGCTCCAACCAAAAGGTTCCCAAAAACTAGCCTATTAGCAATTAAAGTGGGATTAGTTTGAAGAAAAATTAGCTCTCCTTTTTCGAACTCATCTATTTGACGTAAATGATGGATTGTGCATAATTCAATCCATTTGCAATTCCTACAAATACTCTTAAAATCAGGTAAGCTTCAATTGGTTGATTACCCAGTGTTTTAATCGATAGTAATAGGACAGTGCAATTGCTTAAAAAGTAAATTACGTCTGATAAGAGAAAAATAAATTTGCTAGACTGATTTACTAATAATCTAGTGCTTATTGTTAAAGATGATACTTGTAGGTTTCTGATCCCAAAACACATCCAAATATATAGATTCCATTTTATAATATCAGGGTTTCATTGGCTTGTTTTGAATTAGTATTAGTTGATACAAATTTATTTAAAGTATGAATAGGCCATGATTATTGGAATGATAATTGAAAGATGGTCAAAGTTCCAATCAAAGGGAATATAAATTTCTTAAGCTTTGGAATATCTAACATTAAATATACAATAATTATTTTTAGTTAATGAAAACAATTATACTTGGGATTCTATATAGTTTCTGGATGCAAAATGGGAAATATCAAAACTTGATCTATTTGACAATACGTGAGATTCTTTCCCTGGGGTATTTCGGTATAATTTTTGAAAACGTACCTGGGACATACATGGTCTTGGGCAGTTTAGTAACAGAATTGGATACGACATATGAGGTAGGTTCAGTGAGCATGTGTTATGGAATTTTTGGTTAGGAAGCTTGATGTTGAATTTGTGGCAATTTGGAGGTTGTTGGTGTGATTAAGGAAGAGGGTTCTTGTATCAGCAATTCCTCATAGTGATCGGAGATGATGGAAATGGTTCCATTGAGTTTTTATAATATGGAGGAGTTAAGAGATTGGATGCTTTGATCTCCATTGATGGACAAGGGGATGGTTTGGATATTCTGCTATTGGAATGGTTGGGGAGTTTAATTTTGAGTGAGATTCAGATTCTTATTAGTGGTGTAACTAGACTGCAAGGGCTGATTGGTGATGATTGAATACTCCTCTTTGCTCATTTTCAGATGGATTTAGGATAAAGTCTTCTACAATTCTTTGGGGTCTTTAATTTCTACCAAAGAATGCTGACGATCATTTCTCTTTTCGTTTTTGCCTTCTATAAAGGCTACTCCCTTTTGCAATTAGATTATGTCGATTTAGGATTAGCTAATACGATTAGATAAAGTTGAAGGGTTACATTATTCAAGAGTCTTCTTTTTGTAATTGCAAATAGATTCTAATTTTTTTTTATGAAAAGGGAAGAGATCCTTGACTTCTAAGAGCACTCTCTTTTCTTGGATTTCCTGATTAGTCTTGGGATAGCGTTCTACATCTGGTGGCTTCTGAACTATCACTCTACCCTCAAAATCGTAAGTGTATTTGGCTACGTAAGTTGATTAATACATTTAGAATCAACATTCAATCTCTTCAGTTGTCTATTCATCTCTTGGTACTCCTGCTTTTTTATGAGATCTTGCATCTGCATTTATTGCAAATTAAATATTTATCTTGCCTTAGCCTAACGCATAGATTCAATCTCCGTATCGAAATCAACGTCTTCATCCCAATCTCCCATCTTGACTGGTTGGGTATCGAATCTCTCGACATCCTCTTTACTAAACTGAGTGCTTTAAATTTTGGACTCTCTTCTAAAGGATCGATTCTAAATCTAGTTCCGCTTAGGACTCTAGACCTACCCAATCATTCTTCTCCAATGTTCTATGGGACATGGTTTGGGTTCAATCTCGTCCTGATTGGAATCTATGCAATTGTGATCCTCTGTCACATCGGTTATTATCATATTCATGAATTGCTCTGTCCATTTGCAACCAAAGGGTACGAGCTAATTCATTATGTAGTTCTCCTAAATGATATTACTTGCCTTCTGAATAATCTATCGACAGATGAATCTACACACGATGACGCTTTCAGTTAGCATGTACCCTAGTTGCTCATCTTGGTAATTCTATGATAACAGGTCCAAATTCGGAAAATCTCAAATAAACCCAAGTGATACCATATATACTCATTTACGAAAGCATTCGCTTTGGAGACCCTGATAAACTGGAAATTGCAACACTTCTTTTCATTTAGATTAATAAATCAATTAAAATCAAAAAATAATCTCACTATCATCATGAATTTTAGCACTCTATCCCTCAAAATATGCATACTTTCTCAACTCCTTTGAAACCCAATATGGACAATCCGGAATCATTATCCCTAATAAGTATTTTATCAATAATAGTATGTGTTCAATGGCTGCCAACACCAACACCTATATCAGTGGATTGCTGTCCCCTATCAACCCTTCAAACTCAGCCTTATTCACTATCCCTATGACGAGGCAATTCATAAAGGTAGAACAGTAATTCATTAATTCAAAAATGGACAACCAAATGCCAATCGAGTCAGCAGCTTATGCTCTCTTTAGTATTTAAAAATCTTACTTCTCGTTTTAGCACTCTCTGATAATTTGATATCGAAAATTGCAAATTAATAAATTGGTTCAACAGGAAAAATAAAGGGGCAGCAGCAAATGCAGGCGAAAACATAGTCGTGTACCCAAATTGAATAGCAATATCCGTATACTCCTCATACAAGTCCTTCTGTGGCTGTTTGTTATTGCTGTCCTCCATCAACTTCATGAATTCAATCTACTGAGCCTATTTCAATTTCTCCTTCACATACTACATATCGCAAATCTTGAATTGTTCCTTGAAAACCTAAAAAGTTTCAAACTGATCCCTCAAACCCCACTTCAAATATTTATATAATAGATAGGGTAGACAATTACTTTATAAATTAGAAATCAAACCTCTTGTAATAATTATACTCGCCACTGATAATGCTAATTATGTCTGATCCGTTTTAAACAACACAGCATACACTACTGAAATGTAAGATATCAAAAATTCAAACAGAAATACTTTTAAAACATATGAATGCTACATCTCAGAATTAAATCTATGATTCTCCCAATTCACCACATACTTGCAAAGTCGCTTATATAAATCACATAAAACAGTCATACTCACCCCATTCAATGAGTTAATTATTATGGGCATATACACACTTTAAGGATCCTACTACCCCTGCCATTGATTGAATGCCAAAAAACTCACCAAAATTATTGAAAACCCCAACAATATTACAGGGAACTCAGCTATCATTCTCCTCTTGAATGTTGTAAATGAGTCGTACACTTCTATTTTGCTTGTGCATGGTTCAACTGTGTAAAGTCCTGTATACATGACTCTCTGAGGCTCCTGCTGTCTAAACTTATGCATATCCCAAATGTATTTCAGTTCAGATTCTCTGTTCTTCCACTTCTCCATAAATAGAGTAGCCCATAAAGACATGAACAAAGCATAAGAGGGCAGAATCGCAGCGCTTTTGATATGTTGATATCTTACTGCATTTTATCAGCTATCAATTGATATAACTGGATTGCTGACCCAACCAATGCTGGTATAATCAACCATCCTACTATTTACACATTAAAGGCTATATACCAAGCAATAACAGGGCCGTAGTATGATGCTATTGAATTCAAGGGTCTCAAGGCGATCTAATGAGTCTTTATTCTGATAGTATCTCGAATACAATTGTATTAAAGATCCTTCCACATTTCATTGACTTTTAATGACTTAGAACTGTCCTCCAAAGGAAAATGGGAAATCACCAACCCTTCCAAAACAAACTTATCCAAATCAAATTCCTCATTTAACACATTAATGATTAGCTATTGAATTTACAATGGTTTTGGGAACTCAAAATGACCATAATCTCCATACTTAAATTTAGTCAAATGCTACAATATGACAATTATTATTACCTTCTTTGTAAAATGATAGCATTCAATCTAATAGATATCTGCCAACTTGTAGATCGTATCTGCTGACAATTTGACCACATAATAGTGATGCTTCACACAATGTTCTTTTCCATTTTACATATACTTATAATTAGGAGTGTTGATTATGAGAAATTCAAATTCCATATTTCTTTACTAGAATGACTGTCTGATATTCTATAATTACAACAATACAATATCCTAGCATATGTCTTGATTCCCAGAAGTCTAAATCACATACATGTACCCCATCAGATTAAAACTCTGTTCCTTCCCTTTTAGATAGTGATTCTCATAGTACTTCACCATTTTTTCATCGAATGTCAGTTCTATCGGCATCAAACATCGATGATTCAATACATCCATAGAAACACCGTGTTCTACTAAGATTTTCATGCACTTGAAATTATTGATCTCTATAGCCAAATGCAATGCATTAGAAGGGTTCTATTCAGTCATCATATTAAATGCTTCGACCTATTAGAGTTAAATTGACATTTACCTTGTTAAATATATCCTTTTTAATATATGTCTTGGAGAACTGTCCTACAGTAATTGATCTATGCAATGTCAAAAGGTCTTTCAATTCTTGATACTCGTATTCACTTTCCAAGATTTATTTTAGAATCTCATACTTCCCTTTGTTGGCGGCAATGTGGAGACAATTGAATCCTTGATATTGAATTAAAAACGGGTTGCATTTCTGTTTCAAAAAATAACTGAAGAATTCTGTTGATTCAATTCTGGCTGACCAAAACTGCAATCTGCATTCAAATAACTGTTTCTTTGTCTGGCTATTCGCGTAATGGTAGATAGTGTAGGTCTCATTAAAGGTCGTACTTTTCCTTGTTATCAACTTCTATCCAGGTCTTTTCAATGAAGGCCTCACAGATCTAACTCTTTGAATATCCTTCATCGAAGGCCTGATATCATTCATTGAGGGTCTATAGTCATCTTGTGAAATTTGCATTTCTTGGGATAATTGTCTTCCAAATTAAGAAGGAGCTTATGATTATAAATATTGTGAAACCATGCATTTAGATTATTCAGATCGTGAAGGTATGTTGTTAGATTTGAATAGTCTACCAAATTCATCATCTGATTATAACAAGACTCTAAATTGATTTCGATCACTCTCTAACTCATTCTTAGAAGTAATGGGATTTTCAATGTTTTCTGTAATGTTTTAATGAGGATCCGTGAAGATTGTGTTTGTTGGTTAGATAATTTTTACCGATGGAATCTTCTCTGCCTCTGGCTCGTGAAAGTCCTGTTAAGAATCTTCAAAAGGCAGTTCATTCTACACGTACTTATTAGGTAACTTCTTCATTCTCTCTTGGATGGATTTGAATTATTAACTAATCCTGGAACTGATTGAATCTCTCTTTTGTTAGGTTGTACTAGTTTGGTGTATTTTTGACATTAAGGTCATTGCTGTTTATCCACATTGCAAGTGCTAATTAATTTTTTCTTAATCTATGCTTTCCAACTCATTTGCTGGCTCTTTCAATTGGAGCTAATTCTAATTTTAATCATTGATCATAACTGGGTTTTCCAGATTATTTGATTTGAGTGACAAGGATCCTAGAGCAATGGTTCTCTGAGTGTTCAAATTCCTGATGGTCTTGAATTGATGCCCGTCGTTCTTAAAGGCGTACTCCTACACAGTCTTCACAAATATCGCCTTGTATTTTTTTCTATATAAAATTTCTATAACTATTACTGATATTCCTCAGGTCTGTTCTCCAAAAACAAGTAATCGATTGGATACATATCAAATTGGTCTAATTGATATTGTAGATCCTGGTAATTGGATAAGAGAAATTCAATTAACTCCATGTTGCCATAATAGTATGCCCAATGCAATGGATTGGCTCTTTTGTGTTTGTTATCAGTGGGCATTTTGGCTTTATGATCAAGAAGCAACTTGATCAACTTAAACTAAACTTAAGAATTATATTCCTTCATAAAACTTTAAATAGAAATTATATCACTTACCCTTTAATGCTAGCAAGTTCCACGGCAGTGTAGTGATGTAGATCAACCTGGTTGAGGTCAATAATTTATGAATGCTACGACAACCATTTCTCTAGCAATGCCAATTACCCCAAATAAGCTGCCCAATGGACTACATTTCGTTTTTCCTTGTCGACCATTTTGAAAAACTAGTTCAATCCATTCTGATTTTGTTGGAGACTTTATTCAAAGAATGTGCTCAGGGTTTCAGCATTGCCATCTTTCACCCATTCCAAAATTTGAGTCTATGTAATTTTAAACATAGTGTTTAAATTAAATAATTTGAGAGCAATTTTATATTTTGATTTTTCTCAACCAAATTTCAGATAATAACAACATATCCCAGGATCTTTATAATATTAAATGGTTTTTCTATAAAATAAGAATATTCTTGGTTTAGTATAATAAATAAAATATCTTTAAATTATGTCATTAGATATTAGTCGTAGTTCTAGTTTTCAAAATTTGATATTCGATCTTAGATCCTTGACAAACTGTTGGATTTCAGCAAAGTCATTATTTTATTAGATGATGTCCAAATAATACACATCTATCTGTTCGATCCTTTTCAATCTCACTTCAATCAACGAATCGCTATTTAGTTTTAAAGTGATAGAGTAATTCTCATAGATAATTATTGAAAAATGCAATTTCAAATAATTGTGGATCATATCAATGAATAATTGAGGATGCTTCTTGGTTATGAAGGATAAATGATAGGGACCAGTGTGTTACTCAATTCCTCGAATATTTATGGGTTGTCTGGGAGAGTTCCTCAAACTATTCAAACCAGACGTAAATCTTTAGAGGATATTTTAAGTGGATTAAGATTCATCAATTTTAAGACTAGTTTGAAATTTGGTTTTTTCCAAATCACTGATATTTTTAGTATGAGAATAGAAATGTTTAGTAGGAGTTTTAAAAGTGGCTGCATTTGAATATACTTTTTAATTTCCGCTCTCGTGCATACTCTAAACAACTTTTTAGAATTATGTTTATTTCATTAAAGTTGAGTATTGTCCTGAAGGTTATTTTTTATGCTTATTATAAAAAGCATAATTATTTTGTTATTTAATAAAGATATTTTATTTATTAATGTTTGTGTTATGATTACTTTTAGGATTACAATTATTCGAAGATTCATGCAATGATTTAGAGGGTGTCTATCTCATTTTAATTTTATCATAAACCTATTTATATGTACAACTTGATAATTTCGATGTAGTTGATTTGGTGTTTGGAGACTTTGTAGGAGGAGATTTAGCAACAGGTGATTTAGCATTCCTTGGGGAATATTTAGGTAGGTTCGGTATTTCTTGAGTATAAGGACTGTTTGGCAGAAATTAACAAGGGATTGTAATGCATCTGGCCTTGAATGCTGACATTGGCGGATTCTAATGATATCGAAATATTAGACATCTCTTTTCCATAATTGCCACCACTTATGTCTTTTAATTTGCTAAATTGAATATCTTTTTTATGGATTAACCACCAAAATTTTCTTAATCAGATCTTTGGCCTCAATCGAAATGTGTTTTGGGAAAGTGAATTAGGCATTAATAATCTTCTAATACAGATTCTGAGTATTGAGATCATCAAATGGCAAATAGCCACATATCATGGCGAACAGGATGATCCCGCAACTCCAAATGTCAGTTTCTTAGCCATTGTAGGGTTCTCCTTGTATCATTTCTGGAGCTGCATAACAAGGACTACCACAACAAGTCTTAAGCATGTCTTTTTGGAGGTTGCTCAAACCAAAATCGGCTATGAGAATGTCTCTATCGCTAGTTAACAATAGGTTCTCAGGTTTCAGATCTCGATGGATGACCTTTTGACTATGCATATACTCTAGTCCTGAGATGATTTAATGAAAGAATTTGCAGGCTTCGTATTCTGTTACTCTACTCATTTAAAATGAATTGACTTACTATTTAACTCTGTCTATGTAATCAAATAGTTCTCCGCCATTTGCATACTCCATGAATAAGTAGATATGGTTTTCGGTCTCAATCACCTAGAGATTAATCGATGCCAAATTTTAACCTCATAAAGTTTCACGATTTGCGGGTGATGGAGGAGCTTCAATATTTGAATCTCTCTTTTCACTCGTTCCACGTCTCCCTCTTGATTGATTTGTTTCTTCTCGAGAACCTTTACTGCTGCCTCATGGCCAATCACTTGATTGATTGCTTAGCAAACCTTGCTAAATGTGCCCTGTCCAATAGTCTTCCCTATTACATAATATATATGGTTCCACTACCTATTAAATAATTCCCAATCTCAGTCATACCAAATATGATTGCTTAAAATATTTGCTATATATTTATATATTATGAATTAAATATAAACTGATGTTATGCATTAAATATTCTAATAGGCAGATTTCCAACCAGATCAACAATATTCCAGACAAGACTTCCTGGAATACTTGAATTCTTTGGTACTAAAACTTCCTAACCAATAGATAAATGATTAATTCCCCTTTGAATTAATAGAATCCGTCGATCAAGATTATTCAACCCAAATCAACCTACTCACTGTCGATGACTTTGTGAACCTCATTCTCTAAGAATTTAGCACTCAACTCCAAATCAAGCAAGATGCAATCAATCAGATTGAAACATACAAAAATGAATATAAACAACTCCTAGAGGAATTGAAAATAGCTAAAAAGGAAGAAAATCTAAATGAATAAATCGACATTGACAGTACTCTTTTCATAACAGTTTGTTCTGCAGAATGCTTGAAGCAATCCCAGTATTTTGTCACTATTACACTTTTCAATGAAGAAAAGAATACTCAGCTATCTTAGATAACTAACCACCCCATGTGGCAAGAAGAATTCAAACTGTAAAACATTCCAAAACTATGTAGAATAGTCATGTATCCTCACCTTACGGCTAAATTATCGTTGAGTTATTCAATTCATCTCAAATCTTGGTTGGCTAATTGAAATTGCCACTCTATCAATTCAAAGATTAGTAGAGTTCCAATCAGGACTACCTATTGGAAGATGAGCACGGAGTGTTAATAAACACTAAATTAAAACTGAATTTAACTATTTGGTGGATTCATAGCAAAGTTGCTTTGTTGGAAGATCAAATTAGTTTTATTGATGAGTATAAAAAAGAAATTAAACAATAACAAGACATAATTAAAAAAAGCAATCATTTCATTGATAGCTGTCTTTCGGCATTTGATAAATCAAGAATTGCCAAATTACATCAACATCCTTAAGAAGTTAATTAAGAACCTGACTTCTATGATGAATCAGAATGGACAATCAAATTTCAGAATACAATGTATTAGATTGCAAAACAATTTAAAAGTATGTAACTGCATAATTACATGTAGATGAACACCAAGACAGTCTTGAAGAGTGGTAATAGATTGTGTTATTACTCAATGGATTTGTAATTATTTTTACTCTTCTGTTGATTTCCATGTCTAGACCATGCTTCTAACAATTAACAACATCCTTGTTAATTGGAATGTTAATCATTAATTATGATTCTGATCATATTAAAACATCGAAGATTTTACCTCAAGTCTCCTTGATTTTATTAATCTAATGCATTTTTGATGTTTTTTGGTTGATTGTTAATTATGTATAATTTATATAATAGATACTAGAAAGTTTGGTGGAGTAGTACATTGATTTTTGAATAGCAACTGTTTGGTAGTAATATTATGAATTACATCTCATATTATTGTACCTTAGTTATTTTACCCATCAATTTAGTTTTGTCAGCATGTTCATTCAACCTATCATTAAAGTATTTAGGCTTAAATAATATTGAATTATGATTAGAAATATATATTATAATAGAATTTATTCAGTATAAAAGTACATTTTGAATTTATATATAAACATATCTATTAAATTTTAAATGATATTCTTGGTAAGACATGGAGAAAGGGCTGACAATTGTGAAATTGAAAAGAAGAACATTGTAAATCCATCAGATCCACATCTTACTCCAACTGGATGCACCTAAGCATTGTAGGCTGGATCTTTGATTCAATAGGAGATTGAGGCTTACTCTTGTGTTGATATTCAATCCTCTCCTTTCTTAAGGTGCATAATGACTGCTAAGATCGTTGCTAGTCAAATCAACAAGCAAGAGGTATCTTTAAAGACAGAAATCTGTGAAACTTTATATCCTCAGTTCTTCTCCAAGAACCCATTGCCTGAGTTAGTCATTAATACCGATTCCACACACACTTACTTCACTGGGATTACCTTAATCGATTAATAATTGGATCAGAATGAAATATATCCAGAAACCTTAGAAAAAGTGACCAATAGAATTATGACTTATGTCTAACAACTTCTAAAAACAATCGAACCTGAACAATGTGTCATCTTAGTAACCCATCAACGCCCTCTAAAGACTATTTTAGAACTTTTCAATCAGAAGACAGACAATGTTGGATATTGTAAAGTGATATCTTTACGCAAAGGAGAATCAACTCAGATAGAAAAATGCGAACTTAAAATTTATTGATTATTAAATAAATTTAAATTTTATAAATATTATTTGAATAATTCTATTGAAATTATTTAAACAAAAACTCTTTTTAAAAATGAATACTTCAATCATGGGTACGATCACCATTTTACTTTTTACTTTTTTTGACTTCTTAAAGTTCACCTTAGTAGGTAGTATTGTAATTACCATTTTGATGGCTGCTCTCTTCTTCATCTGAATCAGAATTACTATACTCAATTTAGGTTAATTCGTTTCTTTTTTACTTATGTAATTCCAATTCTTCTCTCTGTTGTCTAATGCTATCATCATACATCTTAAAGTCCTGTTCCTTTTCATACTTGGACTTATTTTTTTCCAATTTCTTGGCTAGACGAATATCATCCTTTCTTTGATTGTATTTATAAATAAGAAATGGCTTAATATATTTTTCATCAAAACCCTTGAAGAATTTCTCACTCTTATTTTTCAGTTTTTTATAAGCAACTAAATCTTCCTAAATAAAAGTCTGTCGAATTGCTTTTGCTTATGATTGAGACGATTAAGTTCTTGACTAAGCAGTCGAACTCTCCTTTTCCATTCTTTTATACGCCCATTCGCATACATACTTCAATGTTCCTCCATTAATTAAGGTAGTAAACACCACCATGTACAAAGAAGTAGTTTAGATAATTTTATAATAATCTTTCCCTCCTACATCCTATTCGCAAATTAAAGCATAAGCAACGACTCCTTTAATCAGGCCAGAATAAAAAAGGAGAAAGAACTCATACTTATTTATTCTCCATGGTCCTTTGGTTTTCATGCGTATGCTATGTATATGATAATATATCTACATTATTGCAAAACCGTGAGCTAAAAGCATAGAAGATAATTTGGCTAAAGGAGAGAACACAAAGTATTGAACAAGAAGAAAAGTATACACTTGAGATTTTAGGTTGCTATCATAGGAATCCTTTACAATAGCATTTTCTGTCACCATATATCCAATATAAAAGTAGATAATAGTTTCACTAATATAAGCTAGTGCTTTGATTGTAATTTTAGAAGAGGTCGCTGAAATTTTAGGTAAGTTGTAAGTTTAATAATGTGATAGCATAATGCCACACAATAAAACGGCTAAAACTCCACAAAATCCGATTGCTTCACAAACACAAAATGCAAAATAAGCTATGTAAATAGTGAAGGCCGTAACTACAGAAGAATGCTCAGATAGAAATCGAGATTCCTTAGTTATCCAAGTAGCCAAACTGCCGACCAAGACTCCTACGATTAAACCTACAAGTAAGTTTGCGAGAATCCAGCCAATGAAAATGAATACACTGTACCATTCCCATGCACTTTTTGCTTCGCTTTAATCATGAAACTTCTCTACTGTTTTACTTATTGCAAACACCACGACGTCGTTTAAGATTTGCTCACCGAATATTATACTGTGTAACTTGGGAGCGTGTTCAAATTCTAAAACACTTAAAGATACAGCACTATCTTTAGAGGAGATGCAAGCTGAGTAAAATGTTGATGCATACCTAGAATTGATAGGGGTGTTATTTTCACTATCAATTGATGGTGGTATCCAAAAAATGGCTAACATATTATAAAAATTTACTTGTGTTGGTTATTGAGTAATTGAGTGCTGCCAAAACGATGAAATTGAAAATAGTTCCAAAAATACCATACAAGACCACATAGAAGAAGTTCTTCATAAAGTGTTGCTTATTTAAATTGTAACCTTCCTTAAAAACTATAATGGGAAGCAAAACAAAAAAGAATATTTCAGATGAATTATCATAGTTAACATTCTATAATACTTAAAATTCAGTAAAGACTCCAATTAGCAATCCTATCAGGATGGCAACAGAAGCTTCCCTCAATAGATTGTAATGTCTATGTTCACAATATGTTTATAGCAAGGCTATTATTCCTAAAATGGTTGTAAAGGCGATGAATATTCCTCCAGTTATTAGAGATTTGGTCTCTAAATTCGATGCCTGTATGAAAGGTTGTATCTCCATAATTATTATAAATGAATATAGAATTTGTAATCGAATGTTGTTATATATTATGTATTCAACACATGTTATTAAATTAATTATATTCAATTTTTGAACTTATTTTTAAGTCATCCAACAAATTGAATTTCCATTACACTATCCCCATATTTAAATAACTAATTTACTAACCATGAACAGACAAGAAATTCTGAACCTGAAACCAGAAAAGAAGATCTCCAATTATGGTTTCAGTCTCAAGGCAATTCTTGGCAAAGGCTCCTTTGGAACCGTCTACTTCGGAAGAGAGATGAATACCTGTACAATATACCTTAATAACATGTAGAACTCCCTGTAGCTCTTAAGGTTATCGATCATTCTAAATCTGAAAATTACTAGCAATTATATTCATCACTCCACAAGGAAATAGAAATCATGAAAAAATTAAAACATCCCAATATAGTTGAATTATATGAAGTTTACTCAACCTCAAACAACACCTATCTGGTCTAAGAATATTGCAATGGACCAGACCTGAGATAGTATTTGTCAGAAAAAAGGGTAATTGAAGAAGATCAAGCCATCAAGATGATAAAACAAATAGCAAATGGACTAAAAGAGATAGTCAACAATAATTTTATTCATCGAGATCTTAAACCTGCCAATATCCTTATCCACGACGGCCTATGCAAAATAGCAGACTTTGGATTTTCAAGACCATTGCCATCTGAATGTGTAATGGAATCTCTAGTAGGCACTCCTCTTTATATGGCACCCTAAATCCTAACAAAATAGCAATACACCTCAAAATGCGATGTGTGGTCGTTGGGACTGATATTTTATGAAATGTTATTCGGCACTCTGCCATGGATGGCCACAAACTATATGGAATTGATATACAGAATTAATAATTGTAAGTTGATTTTCCCAAAGAATAACAAAATCTCAAAAGAATCCTTTAGCTTTATTCAAGGCTGCTTACATAAGGATGAAATATAAAGGTTTAGTTGGAATGAAGTCTTCCTTCATCCTTTAATTAGACCACAAATGAAAATCCTTTTAGAACCTGGAATTAACGAAATCTGCAGTCCCAAATTTTCAACCTAAAGATAAATCCAATCTACTGATAAATCAGCACTCCCAACTCTCAGAGAGAGAAGCTGTTCGGGAAAGAATTCGAATCCTCAGAACAAGCAATCTGAATATAAGAGTGAACTAAAAATCGAATAGAAATAAGAACTACCCCCTCCAAGTTCAAGTCAATAGTCAACTGAGGGGGAGGACAATACCAAAGTAGGAAAGTACTATCTGCCTAAATAGCAAGAGAAGTTGAGAAGGACGAGATCTTAATTTGAAAATATTAAACCTAATTAAACAGAAATCATTCCCAAAAGACAGATCTAATAACCTTTACCATCAAACGGCAATCTTATCAAATAAGCCTTTCCAAGTAAAAAACGACATAATTTTGAGTTATTTCAAAAACACAATACTTCGAAATTGAAAACAAATTCTGAAACAATTAATTAGTTGCTTGATTTAATCGCTTCATTAGAAAAGGATGTAAAGAATTAGGATGTGGATTTGGAGGCTTTCCTTAACAAAGAAAGAATCGCAATTGCAAATGGACACTAAAACCAAGCTCTCAGGATTAAAATCGCTTAAAAGTATCTTGAGAAACTTGAAGGCAACAAAAGAAGGAAATTAGAAACCTTTATTAGCTTGTTATAGAAAGATCTTCATTCTGAAGAGAACAATAATCCTTATCTACAAAAACAGAATAATGCCGCACTTCTGCTGTATTAATCTTGACTAAATTATGATTTTAATTAACTACATTTTATAATATTATGTACTTCTCTGATAATGAATATTATTCCCTTGTCGAGTCAATAAAGGATCTTCACAATTTTACTGTCTTACAACAACAATCCCTGACTGATAATACTAAGGTTTTGCTGTCTTTGAACAATTCATATCAAAATAATGCCCAGGCCATTCTAAAATTACTACTGTAAGGAATTGGATAAAAATCTCAAGAAAGAAGTGAATAAATTTTAGAAATAGACTTAAGAGATTGTCCTGAGATAGTAACATATATGATATATTGTGGTAGTTAGAAACACACTTTTAAAATAGTTTAAATCAAATTTAAAACAAGAATAAAGAGATTATTGACAAATTATTAATTTGTTAATAGAAAATAGAATTTAGGGCAAAAAGATAGAAATGTTTGTAAAAAAATGCCTCATGGGAACTGGCTTTAAAGGAAGAGGTGGAAATAATGAGGAAAAAAACTTTATAACTAAACGAAGCTTTACAATAGGTAGAAATTTGGTATATTAAACTTTGGAATAGCATTCCATCAAAATTTAACATGAGGAAAGGGTGAACTAAATGCCAGTGAGAGATTTGAATGATAATTTTGAGCAGGAATCTTTAAATTTATTAAAAAATTTAAAAGATGATTATATTAAATAATTGAAATAATTGCAATAAAGTTAAAAAGTGATTAGACAATTTAATGAAGTTTTAGAATGAACAATTATTAAATTCCTTTTTTATTATTAATATTATAAGAAATGGCGCTTGTTGAAGTGACAAACATAATCTTTGAAAATGAGTTGGCTTTATTCCAAAGTCCAATATCTCTACAAATAACTTTTGAAGTTCTGAATAATTTAACAGATGAAATAGAATGGAAGTAAGAAATTAAAATTAAATTAGCTTGATTTACATAGGATCTCCTTTGAGTGACAAATATGATTAAGTCTTAGATAATTTTAGCATGGGTCCCTTACAAAGAGGGTTAATGCAATTCACTATAACAAGTCAGCCTCCAAATTACCAATTAATCCCATCTAAGGAGGATTTGTTTAGTGTTTCCGCCTTAATATTGACCGCCAAATATCGATAAAAGGAATTTTTCAGAGTTGGTTATTATGTGTATAACAATTACACAGAGGCAGAATTGATTGAAAATGAACCACAAGTAGTACTAATAGATAGAGTTTACCGACAAATATTGGGAAGCAATCCTCGGATAACTAAATTTCCAATTGATTGGGAAGGGTAATTAACATAACTGTATGTTCCTCCGAGCAATCAATAGTTTATGTTTGAATCCTTGAATACGCAGCAGTTGAGCGGTGTTGGAATGCAAACAGAGAAAAATGACCAAGTCTAACAAGGATAGTAGAGTAGAGTATTTACGCAAAATTTATTTTGAATGTTTAATTATTTGTTATAATTACAAAAGTATTTAGATAATCAATGATCGCTGGATATTTGCAGAATAAATTAATAGCGCAATCGAGCATTTAGGAAGTTCATGGGACTGATATGTTAGCCACCTTAGGTATTTGTGATTAACATTTAATATAGATAGAAGAACTTCGAAAATCTATATGGGCGGATAATCTCAATAGCAACTAAATCCATTGGATTTGGTTTAAATCAGTAGTGCATTACCGCAGTTCTCCTTTCAGTAAAACACTGATCAAAGATTATAGAATCTTTTAAACTCAAATTACTAATAGCAGATATCGTAATTGGCCAGTGCTCCCAATATTGATTTGATCAATTAGATCAAGGTATTTTCTGAACTCAATAATTTTAGGAATAAGCAAGAGTTGTGAGATTGCATTATTAAGCTTGATTAATTTATGATATATTATAATATATAAATATTTTTAAATTATAATACCAAATGGAATCTGAAGTACCTGAGAGTTATACTAAGGATGAGATCGTGTGGGCAAAGATAAGAGGATGTAAGTGGTATACATTATTTTAGACCCCTGGTGGCCTGGAATTATAGCTGAAGTGATAAAAGATAAATAGTCATCAGAGCCTACAAAATATCTTGTTAATTTTATTGGAGATAACTCACAGTATGATTAACCTTTGAATAGAAGTTCCACATTACCTTTTTAAAGTCTTGCCAAATATTAGGAGAAGTATGAGGAAATAGTTCAAAAAATCAAGACTAAACAACTCAAAGATTCGGTCTCAGCAGCAGATTAAATTTTGAAAGGGTAATCGACATATGAAAGTATTTAAATTCTGATATTAGTTGAATCAAAAAAAATCTCTAACAAAAAGAATTTCACTAAAACAGTCAGTAAGCGTAAGAGAACAAGATCATCATCGAGTGAAGAACACAGTGGGATATATGGATCATCTAGAAAATCGAAGATGGATTCTGAGGATATCACGAAACCTGACAATTTTAGTTCAGAGATTTAAGAGTTATTGAAATTGATGTCTGAGACTAAATTGAATCCACACTAAATAGAAACTAAAATATCAAGTGTATGAGATAAAGTAATTAAAATGATAGCTGACTCAAATTCTTGATTTGGATAGACCAGACATAATGGAAATATTATAGGGACCGAATGGAAAATAGTTAATGTAGATTCAAGCACGATTGACTGATAAAAAGAGTCTTTCCTAAGCCCAAGTCGATTTTACGCAGCTCCTTGAGAAATTGAAATCAATTGTATTGAGAACGGTAATACAGAAATGAAAAATCTAGTTTTTTACAGTATTTTGATCCGACCGAAATCATCCAGTAATTGCATTAAGTATCAGGTCAAAAGAAGATCACCTAAAAGTTATTAGAGAAATTGTCGAATCAGCCGAATTTCATTTTGGATTGTATCATATATAAAGATGATTTTATAGCTGAAGATGACAGTGAAGAGTCAGATTCAGAGGAGAGTGATGGGGAAAGCGAGGAGGATGAATCAAGTGAAGAATCAGTGAAAAAGGGCAAATACTAGAAGCAGATTCCCATTACTAAACCAATCATCAGAAAAAAATACCCTTAGAATCAATCCCCTAAGAAAGCCAGAAAATAGAGTCAGGATATTCCAAATCCTTTGCAAAAAAACAAAGTGGTTTAGAAGATCTCTGAGACTATTTCTGAACATACTGATTAAAGTATTCCAAAGAGGATAAGTGAAGATATTGAGAGCAGGATTAGGTTGTGTGATTCGAATATGGGATTTGTATATAAGAAAAAATATCGTACAATTCTAGAGAATATTAAAGTATGCATGTTTCTTTATCTTAGAAATAATCCAAACAAGATATAATCAATTTGTTATAAAATAGTTCAAATTCAGAATAGTTATGGAGTAAACATAATTTTTAATTTTTAGATCTTCTGAATGGTCATACCCAAAGTATGAACCAGAGCGGCAATAAGCAAAATGATTATGAATAATAATATTCATGAATATGTTCAACTAATATTATTCAAAAATTGGTTTGTCTGATAATTAATTTAAATTCAAATATTATCTCAACTTCATGGATATTTATTAACTCTTAAGTTTTGATGGATTCAACAACACCTTGGAGATCATTCTTAACAAAGTCGCCTGCTAGAAGTTGCAACAGATACAAAACAACCTAAATATTATTTGCATTATTGGATCCCAAAAGTCAGGCAAAAGTTGGTTATTGAATAAGCTCTTTATGCAGGGTTAAGGTTTTCAATCTAGCACCAAAGTATCAATCATAATAAACTCAAGGGATTCTATTTCACATATGATGGTTAATTGATTATAGATACAGAAGGCTTGGGTTGTGGTGATCAAAGAAAAGACATGCAAATCATCCTCCTTGCCTCTCTTCTATCCAGTGTAGTAATCTACTGCGGTATGCTATCATAACCAATATACTTTAGGTTATTCAGTGGAAGATTTTGAACTCATGATTAATCTTGAAGACTATGAGGACTTTCTACCTCCTTTCATTTGGGTTTTGAGAGACATACAAAATAAGGATGCCCTCTAGCCTAAAGAACTACTTGAAAGATAGTTTAAATCGCAAAATAGAGTGAAGAAACACCTACTTAAACTTTTCTCAGATTTTGTTACAGTTCCATCATCTAGCGAAAGTATCGAGTTCATAGATTCTATGGCTTTGCTAAGGAGAAAAGTGCTGAATTATGCAAAGCCAAAGAAAGTCTATCAGAACATTTATTTGAATGGCCCACTTTTGGTAGAGATGATTTAGATGGTGGTTGCTAAATTCAACAGCAATTAATCCGTTGACTTAAGGCAAGTTACTGAAACCATGGTAGACAAACAATCTACAGTTCTGTTGAATGAAGCATTTAAAAAATATGAGCAAACTATTACATAGCTCAAATTGCCAACATGCTCATTTGAAGAATTAAAGAACCATCATAAAGATTCAGAACTCAAGGCTTTGGAATGTTTGAAATCTAAAATCAACGATAAAGATTTAAATGATGATTTACATCAAATGTGCAAAGAGACATTCAAGGAAATCTGCAAACGAAACGAATAAGAAGCAACTAATTTATGCAATCAATTTATCAATTAAGAATTTCAGACTTTGCAAAAACGATTATCTGAATATAGAAGTATCTTAGAATTTGAGAGAGACATCAAACTGTTCTATTAATTTTTATTAGAACATGGACCTAAAACTGTGTTAAAGCAGCAAGTTTATTAAGAATTTTATAATAAGATGATGACAGAAGGTACTAACATGTTCATTAAGTAGTAAAATTAACAATAATAATAACAATAACAATAACAATAACAACATCCCTTACAAATAAAAAATGAAAATATCAATACTGAAAAAGATAAAACCATTAATGAATTGATTTGTAAAGTTAAAGAATAAGAAAATAAAATTTATTCTTAATCATCATAAATTAAATTATTAGAGGAATAACTATTTTCTTCAGATAAGTAATTAGAAATTTTATAAGCAGAAATACTTAAGTAAAAAGAACTCCATCAATCGCAATTTAAATAATTCGAAAGAAACATCTATCTAAAGGAGTCAGAATTCAACAAAATGAAGGCACTTAATGAGTAGAAGATTCAACATCTAACAAAACAATTAGAATAGAGTTAGCGAAAAGAAACTCAAATGGATTCGTCATTTCTCTCAACTAAGTCAGAATACACAATTTAAATTAGAGATGTCTAATCAAAATATGAGTAAATGATCACTTAATTGCAAGAAAGACTGTTAGCATAAACTGACAAAACTTAGCAACTTTAAGATCAACTAAATAATCTTGAACAATAAAATACTTAGGCATAATTTAAACTCTAGAGCAAAGAAAGTAAAATTTATGAATATTAATAATAAATCTAAATCCTGAAGAACTCAGTAATTCAATTGCCATAAATTGACAATTCCAACAATGAAGAAAATGAAAAATAAATTACTAAGTTGAAAGAAATTATAGAAACTTAGGAATCTCAATTGAAGGAAAAGACATCATAGTTAATACAATTAAAATCCAATTTAGAAATAGAACAAGCATTGATTGCTTAAGAGAAACAATTCTTGGAGATTTAACTCAAGGATCTTTCAGAACAATTAAAGCTTGAGAAGAAGAACCATGAATAAACTCTAAGTCTATTTGAAAGTTAGAATGATGTGAATAAAAGTTAAGTGTTCTCTAAATAATATATGGAAATGAAAGATATGCATTTGAATGAAATGAAATAATTAGAACAAGAATTTGAAATCTAAAGAAGGAAAATGTAATAATAGATTGAATATTTGAATTCAGAATTAAATAAAACTGAGAGTTAGCTATTGTATCAATAAAATGATTTTACAAGGGAATTGTAATAAGCCAAAACTTAGATTCTTAATTATGAAGACAACATTTAGAGATTGAATAGAGAATTCATGTTATTAGAATAGTAAAAGACTAGAATCCAGAGAGAATTGGAAGAAAAATTGATTTTGAAAACTAGGAATCATCAAATAGAAATTGAGGAATTGAAAAAGTAGAATTTGAATGAATATAGATTATTATAAAATAAAAATGAAGAATAAATAGCGTAATTAAGATAGATGTATGATTTGGAGAGACAAAAGGTTGAATAAAAGTTTATGGAAGATAGAAAGGTTATGGAAGAAAAGTATAACTAGATGGTTGAGGAATTGGAGAATCAATTTGATAATAATTAAGATGAAGAAATTTCGAAGCTTTAGAAAAAGCTAAAATAAACTGATTTGTAATTGCAACAATTGTCATAACATTGGCAAAATGAAAATGATTTAAAATAAAAATAGATTTTAACTTTAGAACAAGTCAACAACTCTTTAAAAATATCAATTTAATAATTTTAGGATGATTAATTGAATTTATAAAAGTAAGTGCAAGATTTGCATCAACTCAATTAAATCAAGGAGGAAGAACTTAGTATTTTGAAATAATAAGGATAATATGAATCTTTAAATCATATTAAATAAGATTAAATAGAAAAAATGAAATAGAATAATTCCTTAGAAAAATAGAAGCTTACAGAATAGATTATTGAATTAAGAAAATAATTAGATGATGCATAAGATGAAAATATTAAAATGAAAGTAGAATATGAAAAGCAATTGGCATTAATTACATAGGAAAATGAATTTAATTCACATAAGCTAGAATAACTATAAACTCAACTATAAAACTATGAATCAAAAAATTTTACATAATTAATTAAGATTGAAAGCAACGTTGCTCAATTAACACTAGAAACTGATCTTAAAGAATAACAGTAAAAATATGAAAAGTTAAGACAATAATATAAAGAATAAGAAATCAATAATAATAAAATAGTTGTTGAATTGCAACAATAAGTTGAATAATTAAAAATCTAATTGTAAGAAGAGTAAAATAATTAATAAAAGAAGAATGTAAATCTTCCAGCCCAATAAAATAATGTGTAGTCAAACACTTAACTCATTAATTAATTAAAATAATAAATTGAAAATTTGTAAAATGAATTGTAGGAACTGAAATCACTACACGAACGTGATACATTATTATGGGAAGGAAAATTTAAGTTCTTGCAATAATAAAAGGATTAGTCGAAATAAGATTTACAAGAAGCCATGAAAAAGTTTGAGTTTACTATAAATCATCTCTAAAAAGCAAGATAATAGGATTTAGAGGAGGAGAGTAATTCTATTTCTGAAATGTTGGTAACTTTAGAAAAAAAGTATTAATTATAAGTTTTAGATCTTACCGAACATCATTAGGCAATTATTAATGAATATACAATGAAGATTGAATAATTACAAAAAGAATTAACATTGAACAATATGTCAAATCAAAATTATCAGAAAGGTGATTTGAGTGACATCTCTTCTCTTTATGAAAATCAAATTGAATAAATCAAACTATAATATGAAACAAAAATTGAAGAATTATACTTAAATCAGACTGAAGAAAGGCAGATTTGGAGAGCTAAGCTAAGCGAAGCAGAAGAAAAGTTAAAAGAAGCAGAAATAAGAAGATCAAATATGGTATTTGAGCATGAGAAGGAAAGGGCTAAATGGAACATTGAGAAGGATGAATTGAAATATCAGAAGAATGAATTGTAAGAATAGTGCTCGAATTTAGAATAATAAAAAAATAAGTCTGATAAGAAAAATAAAAAGGTTGGAACTATAAGAACTAGATTGAGTCCCAATAAATCTCCTGGTAATTTGTTGATTAATATAGTAGGAACTTTTTCTAATGCTTCGAAGTTAGGACAGTCCTTTGATACTTTCTAATAAGCGAGTATGGAACTTCCAGAAGAAAATAAGTCGATTCATTTGAATCCTGGAGAATCTTTCGAAGCTTATTATTAAGCGTAAAAAAAGTTTGATTGATAATTAATATACATTTATTATTCATGCTATTTGTTTGAAAGCATTAATATAATCAAATTGAATAATATTAGCCCATTTCAGTCAGTTTATTTATATGGTATTTGACCTTCGTAATACTTAAAATTATTTACATAAAAAGGGATCATTTATTACTAACTGGTAATTAGGGTAGGGAGAGTGTAGAAGATTTTTAATACATCAATAGTATAATTCGAAATATCATTAGGATCCGATATTAAATTTTTTTGAACTAAATCTTAGAGAAATGTAATGGATACAATTATCATATAAAATCAAACAAAGAAAATATGAAAAAAATTTCATTTTCTAATGTTTGAGATGACTTTTTTTCAAAGAGATTTAGGTCAGGCTTGAGAGATTTTTTGATAAGAGGTATGTTTAAATATGGCATATTTATCATAATGAATAATTCTTTCGACTTGTTAGAAATAACATTTTTTTAAATGAACCTAATTTGTCAGTTTTAATATGAATTCGAATAATTAGGAATTGCTTATTAAGATAAATTGTTTGATCTTGTTTAATCAATAGTGCAGACATCTCATCTATCAAATCTAGTGCAATTTCTTTCGCAAGAGATATGGGTGTCTATAAAGATAAAGATTATAGAATGAACTTATACAAGATTTTTGCAAGGATAAAACAAAGAGAATATAAATGGAAGCTTGATTAACTATCTTGTAAGTCTATGAATTGCCATATAGATGTAGGGTTGGTCTAAAATGGCAAGCGGAATGAAGGATACAAATTTAAAGTTACAAAATTAAGTATTAACGAAAAAATAGCCTAAAACTAGAGAAGGAATGAAACTGTATTTGTTTATGGTTAATAACTATGGAGTATTCATAGCTTAGTTTAGTCAAGAATTAAATTGCCATGATTAATTAATTGAATTGAAGAAATACAGTAAATTAAAAGTGAAGCTAATTTAGCTTTAATTATTTCAATTTTAATTTAGAATTAGATATCATAAAGCAATAGAGGGAACCTATTGATTACTTAGTTATTGGTAAAATAAAACACAGCAAATTGTTAAAATTATAAAATTAATTAAAGCTATAATTTAATGACATCTAATAATAGATATTAATGAAACTTATGTTGTTAAATTAATAACTTATATATATATAATATTTCGAATAAGTGCTTAAACCTAAATCCAAAGATCAGTATGATATAGTCGTTCGAAATTTGAAAGGCAAGATAGATGAAATATCTAGAATCGTGATCAAGGTTAAGAATACTTGAAAATTTGAAATGATCATCTTTTGTTATAATAAAAGATATTGTAGTCTTAAAATGACTAAATAATGTATTATTTTTATATCTAAATTATTTCAATATATAATGATTGGAGAAGAAATGGGTAAAGTTGAAGATTGTATTTCGATCTATAAAATTGAGTCAGCATTTTAAGACCTTATAAAACGAATTCAAAAGAAGATAAAGAAATTTCAACATTTGAAAAATGTAATGGATGACCCAATTCTAATGAAAAACATTTTAGAAAAAGGTAAAACTATCCTTAGATATCCGATCCTTAGGTTAGGATGGAGAATATAGGACTAGGAGAGGGAATAATCGAATTTAGAAGGGTGATAAAAAATTATATCAATGCAAAGTCTGTTAAAAGACATATCATAAATCATAANTAATGAATAATTCTTTCGACTTGTTAGAAATAACATTTTTTTAAATGAACCTAATTTGTCAGTTTTAATATGAATTCGAATAATTAGGAATTGCTTATTAAGATAAATTGTTTGATCTTGTTTAATCAATAGTGCAGACATCTCATCTATCAAATCTAGTGCAATTTCTTTCGCAAGAGATATGGGTGTCTATAAAGATAAAGATTATAGAATGAACTTATACAAGATTTTTGCAAGGATAAAACAAAGAGAATATAAATGGAAGCTTGATTAACTATCTTGTAAGTCTATGAATTGCCATATAGATGTAGGGTTGGTCTAAAATGGCAAGCGGAATGAAGGATACAAATTTAAAGTTACAAAATTAAGTATTAACGAAAAAATAGCCTAAAACTAGAGAAGGAATGAAACTGTATTTGTTTATGGTTAATAACTATGGAGTATTCATAGCTTAGTTTAGTCAAGAATTAAATTGCCATGATTAATTAATTGAATTGAAGAAATACAGTAAATTAAAAGTGAAGCTAATTTAGCTTTAATTATTTCAATTTTAATTTAGAATTAGATATCATAAAGCAATAGAGGGAACCTATTGATTACTTAGTTATTGGTAAAATAAAACACAGCAAATTGTTAAAATTATAAAATTAATTAAAGCTATAATTTAATGACATCTAATAATAGATATTAATGAAACTTATGTTGTTAAATTAATAACTTATATATATATAATATTTCGAATAAGTGCTTAAACCTAAATCCAAAGATCAGTATGATATAGTCGTTCGAAATTTGAAAGGCAAGATAGATGAAATATCTAGAATCGTGATCAAGGTTAAGAATACTTGAAAATTTGAAATGATCATCTTTTGTTATAATAAAAGATATTGTAGTCTTAAAATGACTAAATAATGTATTATTTTTATATCTAAATTATTTCAATATATAATGATTGGAGAAGAAATGGGTAAAGTTGAAGATTGTATTTCGATCTATAAAATTGAGTCAGCATTTTAAGACCTTATAAAACGAATTCAAAAGAAGATAAAGAAATTTCAACATTTGAAAAATGTAATGGATGACCCAATTCTAATGAAAAACATTTTAGAAAAAGGTAAAACTATCCTTAGATATCCGATCCTTAGGTTAGGATGGAGAATATAGGACTAGGAGAGGGAATAATCGAATTTAGAAGGGTGATAAAAAATTATATCAATGCAAAGTCTGTTAAAAGACATATCATAAATCATAACAACTGGGAGGACATTTAAGGAAAGGGCACCCAAAAAAGGATAATTTAGACGTTGGTTAACCTTGAAAAGAATGAGATAATTATCTATATTTTAAAAATAATTTTTCTAGATGTTAGAGATTATCTAACAATATCCATGTGCTATCAACAAAATGATTAATTATTTGGGGGATTTTCAAGAAAATTTTGGATAGAATCCACTTTCATTGAAAGATAATTCAAAATAATAAACCAATTCTTCATTATAATAAAATTTATTTATTTAAAATAAAGTCTATCTCCATTTTCTTAAACATTAAGAGAAATAAGAAATTGACCTAGCTTTTGATACTTAATTCAATATTATGAAGTTGTGTTAACTTTCAAAACTCAAGAGTAATTTAGATCTAATCATATTAATAATAAATCTTTTTATTATAAAAGAAATTTGATATAATTTTAATAATAATAAATTATTATCAAATAATTTAAGGGGGTGACTTTGTTACAATATTGGAGTATCCAATAAAACAAGAAAGAGGATTTTCTAATAAAGAGGAGAATAAAAAGGCAGATAATTTATATTCTGTGGAATTCATTTGCAAAGTAATTTGAATTAACTAGGTGAAGAATAAAGCAGTTTTACCCAAAGGTGCATTATAAGAAAATGAATATTTGTATGTTTGGATGGTCATGCTATATTCATCGTTGGAAATCATTAAAAAAAAAAATACAATAATTGCAAAGGATGCAATTAAGTAATATTTGAGAGTTACTTACAAAAATAGCCAAAAGTAGAGGCTAAAAATAATTGAAAATAAATTCAAGTGTTAATCCTTATATAAATAGTTACACAACTATGAAAAAACTCTTAAAAGAAATGAGTCTAAAAAGAAACCATCGTGAAAAAAGGACTACTGAAGAATAAAAAGATGGGTGATTGGTAACTTAAGAAACAGAAGAGAATAGGAAGGGCAAAATAAAGAATACAATATTTTAACACAATACTTTATAAACCAATTATCAGAATATTAACCTAGCTTTGGGAAGATAGCAAGAATTAGAGATAAAGAATGATAAAATAATTAACATATGAAATGGATTTCTGAAATTAAATTGCAGCAATTTGAAGCACCGAATCAATAATTACAATAATCAATACGTTAATTGCAATTTGAAAAATGTTAGGCTAGCAGATCTAAATTTGAGGAATACATATATCAATTTTTTGGAGCGATTAATGAAAAAGCTATGTAATGTCTTAAATTGTAAATTTAAGCGAACAATTTGGCTGTTAGAACTAAGAATTGTTTTAAAGCGTTGATGAAAGTTAGGAAATCAAGAAATTAAGTAAAACAACTAATAAAGTGAAAAATTAGATTGAGAATTAATTAAAATTAGTAACTCTTTTGAAAAGCCTGATATAAAATTTGAATTAGATTACTTAGCATTTAGATTAATAATTATATAAATGATTTCTAATAAAAGATTTATAAATTTAGAGATAATAAGTAAAAGTTGTGAAATTAAATTAACAACTTGATTAATTGAAGATAGAAGAAAATTTTAATCAAAAGGAGTATGAATCTAGCCCATTTTAGAAAGAATTAAGGATTGCTATCGTAATTAAGAGATATTATAAACTATATGAAAGTATAATAAAAAAATATTTTAGATGAATTTTTATAATAACTAAAAAGTTAAAGTGATAAATTTATCAAAGAGATGTTGTAAGTCTTAGGAATATGGTCTCCTAACGCTCATAAAACTCTTTGTTAATTAAACAATTTGTGTAATATATTCACTTATTACATATAAATTAGATCAACAGAGAATTTTAGAATAGTGTAGAAATAGAACTCTTTTGAATTAATTCTAAACAATTGCAGATTCCTTGATTATTGATACTAATGGATATAACTATATAATCAGTGTAGAGATAGCTATCTTTCTCAAAATTATAATTTGCAGTTTAATGAATTAATGATATTTTAAATAATCTAGAAAGTCAAGAGTGTAGAGTAATTGAATCATTGTTGAATCAAATTATATTTAAATATAGTTATTCAATCTTTAATTTCAAAGCTATCATTAACAAATCAAATGTTGCGACTCTACAAAAGATAATTGTTGATTAATTAATTCTAACATTAACTTCGAGGTGTAAGGAATTATCAAAATAATTACGTCATGGAAGACAATGTTGGGGAGGATATTTTAATACAAAGAATTAGAAGTTCTCAAAATTAATAAATCACTTATCACAGTTATTGGAATAACGAATAAGTTAGATTTAGGTCTGTATTATTCATATAGTTCATGGTGATGAGGTTTTGTATCGTTCCCTTATAGATATAGGTGTGTAACTATTGTTCATTTGTTGATAATATAAATCAGCATTTCGAAGATAAAAATCTTAACGAAGAATTCTTAACAGCCAAACCCACTTTGTATTTAAGTGCATAAACATCTCTTTGGATATTATGGTAGAAAGAGCTAAAATCTTAATTGTCAGATATTCCCGTAGAATAGAATCTAAAAATAGTTGAAAGATGATGTGCAGAAGTTATAATAGGAGAACTCTCTAATTTATTCTCACTATGTGACATTACAGAAAAATAAGGTAGCACTAGAAAATAAGGTTGTCGGTTTATAAATTAAGACTGATGGAGTATAAGCCCTTGAGAATAAAAATCAAAGGAATTTGGAGAAAATTGATAGGGTTATTGAGGCTTGAGAGTCGACAAGAAAAGTAATAATTTAAAAATAAGTTCAAGAAGAGCCAAGAAATTAGAAAACAGTTAGAAGAGCGAAAAGTTTTATAACAAATAATAATAACCAAGAAATTCATTTTTGGATTTACTTTCTTGAAGAAAAGGTTAGAAAGAGTAGAACTCCGTCTTTCAATTCGCCCAATAATTTAGATTAGGAAAGTAATTTCGATGAATTATAAGAATTGAGTATAAATAATGGAGTTGAATCTATCTTATTAAAGGGGAATCAAAAACTAAATTATGTCGATTGAGAGATGAAATACACTCAATAACTTTAACAAAAGAAAATCTCTAAGAGGAGTAGAAATTGGTTGAAATGAGAAAATTTAAAAAAGAAAATAATTAAGACGTATGGTTTTGAACGAAAGGCAGCAAATTTCTTTGTGAAGGAATGTGGAAGGAAAATTACAAAACATAGTTTTTAAGGATACTTCGTAGCCAGTTATAGCAGTTTGAAAATATGAGTGAAATTAGATCATAATATATAAAAAGTCATTATAATCTTCTATTATAGGTCTGTTTTAAAATTGACCTTTTATTTGATAAAGTCTAATTGTTTTCTGAGTCAAGACAAGGGTTTATCCATCCAATGTTTGAGAGCCCTTTGCATTTTAATACTTGTCTCTTTATATAAGTCACTTCTGTATTTGGATCATAATTTAGTACAATAAGAAGTTCATTAAATTTAATTTCTTTACTATTTCCCTCAAGAATCAAGGGCTCTTCTTCTTCTAGTGCTGATTTTTGGAAAAGATTCAAAGGTGTGGGCTTTAAAATGTTCCACGGTGGTGAGTAGGAATTCATTAAAAATACAATTTATTATAATCACCAAATAAGATATGGATTTGAAGTTTATACTATGAATTTAATTCATGATAATTTGTCAATTTTACTAATAATGATACTTATATTATAATAATGTTTCTGTAATTATAAATAAATAATTTTAATTTATAAATAAGAAATGAATTAACCAAATAAAGTATAGGAATATGAAAAAGTTGTTGACCTACTTGAACACTTCTTGAAAAAATATCAAAATTTAGGCAGGAATGCTATCGAAACTTCAATTGTCAGTCTTCTAAAAAATAATATAAGCGGATTATTTTTTGTAGGATTTTATGAAGTTATTGATGGTATAACATTGGATTCTATATTAGAAAATTATCTTGAGGTCGGTCCATATTAAAGTACCATATTGGCAACACCAAGAATTGAAAAAGGAAAGGGACAATGTGGGTAATGTTGGGCTGAAGGAAAAGTTCAGATTTAAGAAGATGTGAAGGTTTGTTAGAATTACATAGCCTGCGATAATGAGACTTAAAGTGAGATAGTGATTCCAGTGATAAAGAATGGAGTAGTGCAAAGTGTTTTGGATATTGATTCAGAACACTTGTCACGATTTGACGAAGTGGATTCTAAGTATTTATAAAGAATAGTTGAGTATTTAATTTGATAAAATATTAATTAATGACACTTTCTTTTGAGTTATTGAATTTGAGACCAACGCCTCTAAGATTTGACATCTGGCCATTTGTCATTGGTTATATTGCTCTGTACTCTTGGTGGAGTACTTTGGATGAAGAAGCCCCTGTCGAAACAAATGCATTAATGGAAAAAATAAATAAGGCAACATTCTAAGGAGCTGAGAGTATGATAATGTTTAATATGTAGTTTATAACGATGAAGTATATTATGAATCAATGGAAAATATTTACGCTAGATTAACTTTTATCGGATTAGTGTTTTTTCATTCATTAACATACATGAGTACATTTTGGTCTGTGTCAATGAAATCTAAAATTAGATATTTTTCAGGAGGGAACAAACTCAGCTAAAATAATGTTAGAAATCACAAATTTTGCAAAGTGTAATTCACTAAACAGCAGAAATCTTACAGCGAAATAGTTCCAATACAATCTGATTCATCTAATAAATTCTGGATCTGTTTTATGGAAAACAAATATTTTTATGATGAGACGAACGAATAGTTTAACAGATTAAAACCAAATGTTAAATTTAACCTTCAGAATTTGGAAAGTCCTGAGAAGTTAGAGGAATATGATAAGAATTCCTTACTTATCCCAATGAAGAAATTCAATGAAGTATTAAAGGATTAATTGATGGAACCATTCTCATTCTTTCAGATATTTAGTGTTTCCCTATGGCTATTGGATGAAAGCAGGATTTATGCTCTATTTACTCTATCAATGCTCTTTTTCACATCCTGTACTGTAGTCATACAAAGAATGAAAACCATGTTGACTCTGAGATAAATGAAATTGAATCCACAATTGATTACAGTCTACCGCAAAAACTAATGGATTAAGATTTCCTCTGAATTACTAGTTCCTGGGGACGTGGTCATACTATAAACTGCAGAATAAATCAAACCTGCTGCTAAGGAAAATAATAATGATGACGAACAGTTTTTAAGACAGTAGATTCCCTTTTCAAAGCATTTGCCTCCTAAATTGTTTTAAGTAGAAACCATGAATGTTGATTCTTACAAGAATGTACCATGCGATATTCTATTATTAAATGGTTAAGTCGTAGTCAACGAATCCATGTTGACAGGAGAGAGTGTTCCATAAGTTAAGGAAGGAATCAATAAAAATTAAAATGAACACTTGGATATCAAAAATAAGCACAAATCAAATGTAATTTTTTGTGGAACTGAAATTATACAATTATAAGGGAATACGCAATATCCATCTTATATCAATAATGCTTAAAATTAGTCTCATTGTTTGGGCTTGGTTTTAAGAACAGGCTTCGATACTGCAAAAGGGAAGTTGATTAAGACTGTCTTCTACAATAATGAAAATGCAAATGCCAAATAAACAGATGGACTCTTTATAGTGGTAGTCTTACTTATATTTGCTTTATGTGCCAGCGCATACGTCTTGATGAATGGACTTCAAGAAGAATCCAGAAACAAAAATAAACTATTTATTAGATGCATATTGATTGTAACTACTGTGGTTCCACCTGAACTGCCAATGATTTTATCAATAGCTGTGAATTAATCTTTAATGTTATTGTAACTGCGAAAAATCTTTTGTACAGAGCCTTTCAGAATTCCATTGGCTGGAAAAGTCGAGGTTCTGGCTTTTGATAAAACTGGTACCTTAACTAATGATACTTTGTTATTTACTGGAATTGTAGATAATTGTGTTAACAGAGGTACAAAGTCAAAAAGTGATTGCTCTTTGTATTGCTAACAAATCTTGGCTGGTTGTCATCAATTAATATATGCTGATAATAAATTGTAAGGTGATCCAATCGAACTCTTGTTCTTTTAATAAAATAATTCATGGAGTGTTTAAACCTAACAAAAGTATGCTTAAAATAAGGATTTAGGCATTTTCCTTTATTAAAAACAAGTATTCTCCTTCAAGAGTGATTTAAAGAGAATGAGTACTGTAGTATAGGTTGATTAGAAAGGTCAAAGACATTATAGAATATTAGTTAAAGGTGCTCCTGAAGCATTATAATAGCTATTCTAAGAAGTCCCAGATGAGTATGAATACTGTTATTAACATTATTCGAATTTAGGATACAGAGTACTTTGTTTGGCAGATAGAGAAATTGAAGAATACGAAAATCAAGAAAGAGAAGAATTAGAAAAGAATTTAGTGTTCCGTGGATTTTTAATTTGTGAATCCCCTTTGAAGCCTGACACTCAATAATGGATCAAAAAATTCAAATCCAGTTATTTCCAACCCATCATTATTACAGGAGATAATTTACTTACTGCAATAGCAGTTGGTAAATAATTATAATTACATGATAACAAAAAGACTTATATTCTAGATCATCAGGATAATAACTATGTATTAGTTGAGCATGGCACTAAGAATATAAAAGTGTTAGATAATGTAGAAAAGGAAATAACAAAAATAGAAGGAATGTTGTGTATCTCCTCGTCAATTATGGTAAAATTAGAAGAATAGCATTTAATTAAACTAATAATACATTTCAGTATCTTTGCAAGAATGTCACCAAAATAGAAAGAAGCTATTGTTATTTAGTTTAAAAAGTAAGGTAAAGGTGTGTTGATGTGCGGAGATGGCACAAATGATGTTGGAGCATTAAAAAAGGCTGATGTTGGAATCGCCTTAGTTACCAATTAGGGAGAAGAATAATAGGAAGAGGTAGATGAAGAGGAGGAAGAGAGAATTGCTAATTTATCAATGAAAGATCAACTTTTGTAAGTTAAAAAATAATAGGAGGAGTTAAAAAAGAAAATGAATGAAGCCAGAGGAGATAAGGAGAAGATGAAGAATATTGCTAATTAACATCTTTAACAATAAGCAGCTGGGTTGTTTGATATGGGACCAAGTTATAAATTTGGTGATGCTTGTATTGCTGCTCCCTTTACATCAAAAATGTCAACAAGCATTAGATGTGTTCATACTATTGTCAAATAGGGAGTCTGTACTTTAGTGACTACAATTTAAACTTATAAGATTATGGCTTTATAAAGTGTATTAAACGCATATTCTTTGAGTGCTTTGCATATGCAATCATTGAAAATGAGTGAAACTCAAATGACTTTAATGGGAATTTTAGGAGCTGCTTATTATTTCTGCTATTCTTCAGCTAAACCTTAAAGGAATTTATCTAAAATAAAACCAAGCTTTTCCATTTTTGAATTTTCATTTCTCATTTCATTGACACTCCAAATCATATTGCACATATGGTCAATGCACTTTGCGATACATTATATAGCTATGCCAAATATGAGTATAGAAGAAAAGGAAATTAAAAATGAACTGGAATTTAAGCCTACATTCTTGAATACCACAGTGTTTCTATTGCAGTTATTACAACAAAGTTGCATATTTTTATTTAATCATCCTGGAGAACCTCATATGCAAAAGATTGATGTGAATTCTAAATTTTTCAAAAGCTTAGTAAAAGTTTTAATGATATTTTTAGTTTATTCCTCTTGTCTTGTGTATAATATCAGCATTTAACTACAGTGACATTTTGAATTCTTATCTTGAACTAACATTCCCTCAAAATGAGGAGACAAGTGTACAATTAACTTTGCTGTGCATATTTGTCACAGTAGCAAATTGGGTAATTGAGAAAGGAACCAAGACCATGAAATACAAAAAATGGTATGGATTTATATGATAATGAGTTTGCATAAATTATGTTAATTACAAGATATATATATTAATATTTAGACTTGTTTTAATAATAATTAGTGTTTTATTAATGGATAATCCAACTTAGCAGGAAGAATTAGATAGTTTCACTAAAACAACTACACCAGAAATGACTGCGGTGAATACGACCATAAAAGCTGTAATTGGAAACCAATTGGTTCGCTCAAATTCTAGTCCAATGGTCTAACCTTTAAGTGGAAAGACCTTCAAAATTGGAGTAATTTATATAAGAATTTTTAAGATTTGTGGTGGCCATTCTTCAGGAAAAGCCTTGCTAACTGAAAAATTGATGGGTCAACTACAATAATTGGGATTTTAAGTGAGCGTGGTTAAATAAGATAATTTTGATGTTGATAGCAATGATTTTGACAATTAGTAATTAATTAGTAATCATTAAGCAAGTAGAATTCTGATATTCTCAATAATGTTCCCTATGTTAATAATTAGGATTATAAAAAGTTTTTGGTATCAGTTTATACTAAGTTTTAGTCAACAGCCATCAATACTCTCCTTACCACCAGAGATAAGAATGTAATCATAATTGAAGGGACTTTAATATTGTATGACAGACAACTTAGAGATTTGCTTGATTTAAAGATATTCTTGCATCATGATCAGGATGTGAGACTGTCGAGAAAAAGTATTTTTATGTAGAATGCATTTAGTTTATAAGGAAGTGTGTTCCAAAGGCAAAGATGTGGAAAAAGTCATTTACAACTATTTGAATAGATTAAAACCACTTTATGACTCAATCATTAAGCCCACTGAATAATATGCAGATATTATTGTACCCAAATTTGGGGGAGAGTTTGCATTGAAGCCACAAGAATATTTGGGTGAAACTTAATAAATGCAAGCAGGCTTTAGTTAAGTTAATCCCAACGTCTTAAATTTACTTATAGAGATTACAAAGGAAAATATTCTAGGAAGCGATAAATTGGATAAACTAGAAAAACTTGACAAAACTTAAGCAAGTTCAAAATGATTTAATTGTTAGTTAATTGTAAAATTAATCTGGAATTCTAATCTGTATTGATGGAATTATTATATGATAATCAATTATAATTCCTGTGAGTAATTATAAATAAATGATAAAAAATTATTATAAACAGTCAAAACAATAATCATGGAATTCAACCCAAAAACGAGGTTCTGAATTTCATTAGAATTAAAGATCAAAATCAAAATCTCCAGGTCCCAATAAGTGTAAAACCCAATCTAAATTAAACAATTCAAATCTTACTACATATTATAAAATGGCAATCGGAGAGTTTAAATATTATTAGGAATGCTTTCCAGAAGAATATACCATACTCTCAATAAACAATGAAATCCTCTTTGAAAAGGATATTATTAAATGTAAGTAAAAGGATTCGCAACTTAATACAACTTTAGAAGGTTCATCAGATGAGGATTAAACTCAAATACAAGACTTTACTCTCCGGACTTCTTTCAATCCTATAAACTAAACTTAATATTAGCACAGCTTTCGTTTTGTTTATTCAAATAGAGAGAGAATATTCGAAGAAAGGAGAACATCTTTAAGTAGTTCTAAACCACATACATAGGTCCTTTGTAGAGAAGCTTATATTGTAGACACAACAGTCAATTACACAGTAGCAAAAGGAGAATATTTGATTGAATATTATTGCATTACTAATACTACTAACGAATTTGGAAAGAGTATCATAGTTATTTATATTGTGTTTCAAAATATTTATTCTGGAATACATATCTTTTTGATTCAGTCTTTATTAAATGTTAATTTTCTGTGAAACTGTATTATGCTTTGTTCTTTTCAATAAACATTAATAGAGAAGGATTATTTTGTTTGATAATTATTCTGTTCTTGTGATTCTTTGATTTCTTGAGAAATAGTATATGTTCTTGAGTGGCAAAGTGTAATTATCGAATAGACTTTAACCAATTAAGAAAAAGCGATATTTTGAAATCATTAGATTGCTTTAGAATACTTGATAGACAAAATACCTTGATCCAAACTACAGTTTGAAATTGCATTCTATTTAGGTTTGTTGAATATTTATATATATATATTATAATAATTCATTTGGGATTTGTTTTTTTAACAAATTTTTTAGCGATTCTTTTTCTGATTTTCACAATTTGAGATTTTGATTCTGAGTGACATTGGGATTAACTCTTTTATTCAAATTTCAGATTTAGTGGAACAGTTCGTTTATAAAGAACTTTAAACTTACAAGTTTGTTAGCGAGTAGATTTGATTTCAGTATCACTAAAAGAAACTGGCTACAATGTTCTCAGATAGTTGGGCTTGAATTAATAATTTAAATTTTCAAAGTCATCCTCCAAAAAATTAGTTTTATTTAGACGTTGCTAGAGAGATTCAACTTCTAATCTATCTTAGTAATAATTATCCTAATCCATTACAATTAATCAAAATTAAATAAAAAAAATATTAAAAAATTACATCATTGATTAAAATGATCACGATATCTTTTAACCATTTTTTTTATTTCATTTTTGCTTGCTTGCTTTGTCATAACAGGTTTTAATTTCAATTTCATATTACATTCAGAATAAGTTGTTATCATAATTTTATTTTCCTCAATTTATTTGATTTGATTCCCACTTAATAATAACAGAGCTCTGGTGCTTTATTTGGTAGACATTTCTCTACATTAATAAATATCATTATTTACTAAGGCTGGAAATGATCAACATTTACAGATTTCGAAATCTCTATGCAATCATCTCCCTTTCTATCAGTATATTTAATATATAGAAAGTCTCGTGGGTCCATGAACATAATCTTTTTATATCTAAGATAATTAATCTATAAATTTATGTCTTCGTAATGCTTCTCAAAAGCATCAATACTATTATCCATTTATTTTTGTAATTGCAAATCCTTCATGAATTCTATATAGGAGTCAATTGAAGTATTCAAAGTGTATGTATATTTCATTATACCGATCTAAAATTTTTCAGGAGTCTCGACGTATTTAATCCAAAAATTGAAGTCCTGTTCTTCTTCTAATAATTCAAATCCCTCCATTTTATCAATCACAGAAGTAAATGCCATCACTGCTCTTTCTCCTATTTCTTTAATAAATTCAGTTTAAGAAAATGAGATATGAGGAATATCATCTATAAATTATCGAATTGTCTCTTCGTCATTTATTTATTCACAATCCTAAAAATTTGCCTTGTTTTCGAATTCCTCTATTTTTGTTTCAGGATTCTAAATGAATGAATCCTCATGAGCTCCTAAATACAGTCTCTACTCATATTTACTTAATTCGGCATTCATATTACTTTCAATGTCCCTACTCACACTCTCCATCTAGTAACCCTTCTCTGCATTCTCTACTCTAGTGTACTTGAAGATATTTAAACATCTAATGAATAATTACCTAATACATTAACATATTCTTAACATAATAAAAATTAATGAAATATAACCTTGTCCTATTATTTTTGAAACGCGAACATCTAATACTACTAACCAAGATAGCTCTTCTAAATGAACAAAATCCCACTTGCGAATATTAAATCAATCTGATTGATTAAGAAATTCAAAACGAAGAAAAATTACTTATCAAATCAAAATGGACTTAATCTGAATTAGAAGCAGTCAAGTAGCAAATTTTGTAAATAGCCAATCTCACCTTCTCTTATTACAAGCTACATTTCCCTATCAATTCTTCTGTCTCTATCAAAGAGCATATTAAATTTATTCAAATAATTAGAAATTTAAACTATAACTGGACTACCTTGGATGACATTTTTAAATAGTAAAAAGTATGTAATAATCCATGATATAGTGTAGGTTACAATTAGAAAGAATGAAATTAATAAAATCACAAAAGTTGATAGAGGAGCCAATCCATCCTAAGATTGCCAATTATAAAATAGACTTTACTTATGTCTAATACTTATTTAATAAATATTACAACTCCAAAAATATTGATTACAAATAGCCATATCAATTACTAAACTTATTTGTCAAAAAGAAGCTTTACAGAATCAACAATCGTGTTTGCATGAGCATAACAAGTTTAGAAGATGTCCCCCAGCTGCAATTAATTAATACTAATCTCATATAACCAATCCTAAATTACGATTAATTCAATAGTACATTTGAAAAAAGGATGAATAAATTAATGAACAGAAACTCTTAGATTTAACAATCCATACGCTAATACAACTATCTCTATTATAATTAGAGAACTTCTATTCCAAATTGCAAGACCTCAGATGATCTTCCAACATTACAAAGATAAAAATTGAACCAAAATTGTGAATCAGACATATTAATACTTCCTGATCATAGGACTTAGAGGACAAATTATAGATTTGCAAAATTAATAGAAAGATAAGAAAACAAAAATGTTAGACCAATTAACATCAAAGATCAAATGGAATTAATACTAATACAGAAAATCAAACGTCATCACACATCCTCTGAAAGAGAAGATTCCAAGTAGATTAGTAGATCTCAATTATTAAGAAGCGTGAAGTCAGAGCATTTGTTGATTGAGTAAGAAATTTTCTTTAAAAAAATTTTATAGCCAATAAAAGAATAAAAATTTAAAATAAAACAAAACAAATGATATTACTAGTGTTATATAATGAAATTTTTCATTATTAATTAATAAAGTTTTAAATTTTATAGGCTAATATTTATTATTTATTTTTTTCTCGTTTTTTGCTTAAACCTGGTAATTATACACATAATTTCTTCTTTTTTCAATACTCTATTTTTTACAAATGATTTAATCAGTTTAAGCTGATCAAAATTATATTTTTTCGCTTGCAATTCTTGCTCCTTATGTAAATGAAGAAATTTGAATCATTTAATTTTCCAAATTTAGTTGTATTTGATTTTTACAAATTAAACATATCTGTTTTACTTATTAACCTCAAGTCTAATATATTTAATAGAAATCATGAAACTTTGAAACAAATCATGAGGTTAAAGTCGGCATCAAATTATAAAAATTTTAATTATACTCATTTAATATTCCAAAGTTCCTCATAAGCATTTGAAATTCGTTATAAACAATATCCTGCACTTAGTGAATATGAGGATATACAAATGCATTCATCAATATATTAAGCTTCCATTCCTGGATTACCTTTAGAAACAGCACCTATCACATAAACTATTGGTTTGTTCTGATCAAGGTTTGGTTATTTGATCTATTGAATAAAATTCCAAATATATTACAAATTATTTGATATCAATTAATTTGGCTTATGTAGATGTACCTATTTTGAGAGCCTCGCTAGGTAAATGGTCAGTAATAGGATTTTTGATAACTTTTATTAATGTTTCTGAACTTTCTACAGCTCTTACTCTAAGTTTATGCAAGGCTTATGCGAATAATGCTGCATATGATTCATAAGTTCTTGGCACTTTTAATTTAGGGCTAATATCAAGTATGACGTTTTGAGCTGTGTGAACGTAGATTTTTAGTTTTCCTGCCTTATTCAATGGGGAATCCATCAGACTAAGCAAGCAATGATGCAAAATATCAGGTCTGTAAAGGGAATAATCTTTATTCAATGTTTAATTTATGTAATTCTTATGTTCATCAGCATTGAGTAAAACGACTTGTTGTCTTATTGTCGCAATTTCTAATGGAGCTTATTCTAATACAATGATTAGTTATCTCTTATCTTCAATATCTTCAGGTAATAATAATTCTTATTACATTAATTTATTTAACAACTACATACTATGTCTTAGTAAATAAAATAAGTTGAAATAAAATAAGTTAGATCAACCTCATTCAATAATAATTATAAACCTTACGATCGTCGATAGTCGTAACCTTTAAATTAGACATTTGAATAAAAGTAATTCGAGTACCATCAATCGAATTAATCCACTGGTTAAGACTTGGTTGACAATGATAAACAAAGTTAAATGTTACAAGTGTTGGAACAATAAATAAATATTAATTAGTATTTGGAGTAATAAGTTAACACATTGTAATAGTAACTGATAAAATAATAGAAAGTATTTAGTATTATTAAGTTTAATAAAGATTATTGAACAATAAAGTGATATATCTCATGTTTTAGAATAACTTAATGTATACAAAGAAATAGTGGAATAATTGGAATTTAGACTGAAGGACATTTTGAAGGAAAATGACGAGTTAAATCAATTTAATTAAAAATAACAACAAAAAATATATTATCTGGAAGAGGAAATTCGAAAATATTAATAAATTATTGATGAAAAGATACATGAGTAAGTAAAAGGAGTAATGTCACCCGATGTTTAAAGAAAGATGAAGAGATTAATCGAAGAAAATACCATTCTTAAACAAAGTAATAAATAAATGGAAGATGAAGTAAATGAATTAAGAAAGAGTTTAGAATAGTTCAAAGAATCCATTTAAACTCTTCATCTTCATAATAATACTTAGGATAATAATTATGTGGCCGAATTAGAAAATTAAATTTAATATTTTTAAGAGATGCAACAAATTGACTAACTAAAGATGCAAGCTTTGGAGGAAAAGTTAAATTTACTATAAAAAGAAAATTATAGATTACAAGACAATCTAAAATCAAAAAGAAAATAATATCAATCATGATTTTTATTTATCTAAAAACATTTTTATTAGAATTTCTAATAGATATAACTCTCTGTTTCTATTTAAACTATCAGTAACTCCATTTTTAGATGCTATTCCAAATGTTGCTTTAAAGTTATAATATCTCATTCCTGCTGTAGATAATTTAATTGATTTCATTGATTGTTGTCTATTTGCTAAATCTTATAAGATATTATTGCAGTTATTATTGTCTATAAATCAAGATAATATTAGAATGAATAATTGCTGTATTCTTTTTTAAAGTTGATTTCTTACTTTTATAAATATTGAAATTAACTTTCAGACATTAAATTAATGGAATATAATGAAATAAAGTAACAGGTAACTTAATGATAAATTTCTAGATTGTTTCCAATATAAAGGAAAACAAATAAAAAATTAAGGATCTCTAAGTATTCTTAAAAACTTAGCACTATGAATATAGTGAAGCATAAGAAAAATTAGAAGAAGAAAAATAAAGAAGGAGAAAGGCAAAAAGTTCAAAAAACAAATTTTCTAGCTTTGAAAATGCAATCAATAGACCCCCATTTTTTAGTGCTACTCATGTTTAGTAAACGTTTCATGAATAACCATTTATTGACAATGAAGTACCAGCATTGACAGCAACCTAAAAAGAATAACTTATTATGCCATAAAGAAACAAAAGCCCAAGCTCAAGTATGAATAACAATAATTTTGCAGTTACTTATAAAATTGACCATCCATTATCAAAATTACAAAGCGATTTTCCTTCTTTGAAACCAAATTAAATGAGTGAAAAGGAAATTAAAAGATTGGAGTATTGGCAAACTATTACAAACTAAACAACAAAGTTGTAAATCGAAGAAGTACTGTTTTATTTGACATTAGCAAAATAAATAATTGATTGGAAGTTTGAAGAAAAAAGAATTAGAATAAAAACATACATAAGTCTTTTAATTAGCAAATACAAATTTACGACTTTTAGACCCTAAACCATCATTAATCTCAGAAAATCCATTAACACCAAGAAGATTATAAAAGCTAATAACCTTGCCAAGATTATATGAAAAAAAAGTATGGACTCCTAACAATAACTATTTTTGATTCATTTTCATTAAATAGATCTAAGAAAATAATATTAAATATTGAATAATAACTTATTGTACTTTGTAAAGCTTAAAATAATTCAGTTTATAAAGTATTCTCTTGTCTTTTTTCATAGTTTTGGTAAGATTTTAATATATTTTCAAAACCATAGAAATTTATTATAAAATTATATATAAATTATTTAATAGTTAGCTAAACCAATATATATACCCTAGATCTAATTCATAAAATAAACTCATTTAACAAAGACAATATTAATGAAGGAATATTAATTTAAAATATATATATATCCGAAAAAAATAAAATAAAAAATCATTCTTTTTAAGTAGATTGCCCCAATCCTCAAAAGAGATTCTTTAAAATCTAACTACATTCGTCTTTTGGNGATAATTTAATTGATTTCATTGATTGTTGTCTATTTGCTAAATCTTATAAGATATTATTGCAGTTATTATTGTCTATAAATCAAGATAATATTAGAATGAATAATTGCTGTATTCTTTTTTAAAGTTGATTTCTTACTTTTATAAATATTGAAATTAACTTTCAGACATTAAATTAATGGAATATAATGAAATAAAGTAACAGGTAACTTAATGATAAATTTCTAGATTGTTTCCAATATAAAGGAAAACAAATAAAAAATTAAGGATCTCTAAGTATTCTTAAAAACTTAGCACTATGAATATAGTGAAGCATAAGAAAAATTAGAAGAAGAAAAATAAAGAAGGAGAAAGGCAAAAAGTTCAAAAAACAAATTTTCTAGCTTTGAAAATGCAATCAATAGACCCCCATTTTTTAGTGCTACTCATGTTTAGTAAACGTTTCATGAATAACCATTTATTGACAATGAAGTACCAGCATTGACAGCAACCTAAAAAGAATAACTTATTATGCCATAAAGAAACAAAAGCCCAAGCTCAAGTATGAATAACAATAATTTTGCAGTTACTTATAAAATTGACCATCCATTATCAAAATTACAAAGCGATTTTCCTTCTTTGAAACCAAATTAAATGAGTGAAAAGGAAATTAAAAGATTGGAGTATTGGCAAACTATTACAAACTAAACAACAAAGTTGTAAATCGAAGAAGTACTGTTTTATTTGACATTAGCAAAATAAATAATTGATTGGAAGTTTGAAGAAAAAAGAATTAGAATAAAAACATACATAAGTCTTTTAATTAGCAAATACAAATTTACGACTTTTAGACCCTAAACCATCATTAATCTCAGAAAATCCATTAACACCAAGAAGATTATAAAAGCTAATAACCTTGCCAAGATTATATGAAAAAAAAGTATGGACTCCTAACAATAACTATTTTTGATTCATTTTCATTAAATAGATCTAAGAAAATAATATTAAATATTGAATAATAACTTATTGTACTTTGTAAAGCTTAAAATAATTCAGTTTATAAAGTATTCTCTTGTCTTTTTTCATAGTTTTGGTAAGATTTTAATATATTTTCAAAACCATAGAAATTTATTATAAAATTATATATAAATTATTTAATAGTTAGCTAAACCAATATATATACCCTAGATCTAATTCATAAAATAAACTCATTTAACAAAGACAATATTAATGAAGGAATATTAATTTAAAATATATATATATCCGAAAAAAATAAAATAAAAAATCATTCTTTTTAAGTAGATTGCCCCAATCCTCAAAAGAGATTCTTTAAAATCTAACTACATTCGTCTTTTGGGTCAAGTCTAGTTCGGCTTATACTCTGAAGGTATTAATTTGGCTAAAGTTCTCTTCATTAACAACAGGTGGTCAAGTGAAGTTCTCTAGCAAATACCTCACAATAAATTAGTTCGGGTAACGTAAGCCGAACTAGAAATGGTTTATAGTCTCTACATGGGAATAGAGACCAATTAATTTTCAAACAAAAATAATATTAAAAATTTAACAGAAAAATTTCATTTAAATAGTTAAATCACAATCGGTTTGTGAATAAAATAAGATTAATTAATACGCAGCATTATTCAAAGTAATATCAAATTAATTTCTTTCTAAATTTTTAAGTATTTTTATCTTGCATTGATCTGGAGATTAGCTCAATATAATATATTTTCTCTATTAAAAATTTTTTCACTCTGACCTTTCCTATAATGAGAGTGCAATATATTAATTGTCATACCCTTAAAATGTCTTCTACACTCTATTTTACTTTAAATTGTAGCTTCAAAACTATTTTAGTTATACCTAACCAGATTTGAAGGGAATGGCTAAATTGAAAATTTTTTGTGATCTTTCTAGTTAAAATAAAATGCAAAAATTATTATAAAATAATGAAAATGTATATTTCATATATATATTTATTTAATTAATAGAGAAAATATCCGTGTATTCAATCTTTTTGTTTAATGTAATATATTTCAAACAATGTTTAAAATAACTTTAAGTCTTTTACTAACTACCAGTCATCCAAAGTTATGTCTTCTCTGTAATGCTCTTTTAATATATAAATAGCTCTTCTTGTAATCTAAGGAAATGAAATTAATAAATACCAAACTTGCTCGTTTGTTTCTAGATTGATTTGCTTTCCCGCCTATATAGCTTAATTTGTTCCGATTCTCAATGCTACTTTGGTAGCTCTGGCTTCTTTCAAACTCTTATGATTTAATTCAATAGTCTCAACAATTCCAATTTTATTTTTGTTACTATTTTAATCATAAATGCATATAGGTGTTCCTGTTTTTAAAATTCCTTGTTCAACTTCAACTCCTAAAATCAAAGGCTCCTTTGTATTGATAATACGAACTATCTAATTTAATATTAGATGGATTTAATACCTTTAACAATGAGGGAAATACAAAATCAGTAGCCTCTTTCTTCTTTTCTTTCTTTTTTGACTTACTTTATAAACTCTGTAAACTTAATTAATAAATGATAAATGATGTTTGCTTCAAAAGTCTTGATTTCATTTTCCTCACCAAATTTCTAAGCATTTGGCAATGTTTTTACATCGAAAACCAACATAAAAGCATATCAATAAAGAATAAATATATATACTCTTTCTTTCTTCTATTAAGATCCTCCAACAGCACATTTTTCAAGGCTTTCATTACTTCATCTTTTGATACTGGCCCAACACTAACATATGAAACAGGAATAACTTAACTATTCAAATATTGTAGAAGTGCTTCTAATGAACCTAAAGTAGATGCTGCAACTCCCACTCCTTAATTTTATAGTTTTATGTATTTTTTGACCTCCTCCATCTCATTGTTAACTATTTTGGTTGCTTTATCGATATCTTCTTAAGAATTAGCCAAATATATTTGAGATCCTGCCATAGCATCTTCTAAACCTACTGCCAATATTTTTAGACCTATTGATTCATATATAATATCATCATGAATATACTCACCTTTAACTCTAATTTCTTTCATTGGATTAAGAGTTAAAAGAGCTCTAACCTTAGTCACTATGGGGAGCCCTCTTTTCAATTTCTTTTCTGGAAAGAAGGTAGCACCAATTTATTATGTAATTCCTCCTGCTTCACCCTCTTAAATATTAGTATTTCTAATCTTGTCTAGCATAGTTGCATTACCTGTATCGACATGTCCTAAAATGCAGCGAATCGGTAATCTTAATTCACCTACAGGTTTGTATAAATCTAAAATTTCTTTTTGTTGTTGTTGAGGAAAAAGATTAGTAATATTATTGTTCTTATTATCTTTTTTAATCTTCTATTTGTTGCTTTTCTTCATCTATTTCCTGTTTAAATTGTTCTGCTTCTCCGTCCTCAAAAATTTGCTCCCAACTTTCAATGTCCTCAACTTAATTTTATTTGATGATCACCTCTCTTTTACTTTTTAGTATCATTATTATTAATTAGATTGGCCTGGTTGTTTTTTTTTTCACAATGTTCGATTTATTACCAGTATCATCAACTTTAATTCCTAATTATTCTCTCATCAATTTGAGTTTCTCCTCCTCTTCAAGTTGTTTTTTGTTTTATATTCCCCCCTCTTCAATAACTTTTCTTTCTGTTTTAATTTCTTTATTCTTCTCTCTTCTTCTGCCTAACCTTTCTAATTTTTCTTTAATTTTTCTTTATTGTTCTTCCTTTTTTCTTTGCATCTTATGTGCTTTCAATGCTGCTGCCTTTGGCTTTTTTCCTGACTTCTCTGATTTTTTTCAAGGATCTATGCTTATTACTATGGCTATGGTTATGGCTAATTTTTCTTCTTTTCTGCCTATTTTACTTTTTTTTCTTCTTTTTTCAGCTATCTTTTTTTGCCTCTTCATCCAATTCTTATTCTTACAGTGCCTTAGATGCTAGTATTTTATCTAATTCATCTTCAGAATCATTTTTTTTATTTTTAATTTTTTTTTGTTTATTTTTTTAATATTTTTTGGTTCTTCATTCTTTGGAGCCAGTTTTTCTTCTACTTCATTTTCTTCTTCTCCTTACAAGAACTTTGAGCCTTCATTTTAAGGTTGAGATCCGATCCTTCTGATTCTGGTTTTAAAAATTTCGACATGATTTAATTCATGTTCTATAATCACAAATTTAAATGGTTTTTAATTCTTTAATAATAGTTTACAATTTTATATTTAACATTAATAAACTCTCACCTAATTCCAAAGTCTCACTTATTCGGTTGTTCTAAGATGGCCATCCATTTCCTCATTCTTCATATTTCAAAAATATTACTTTTAAGTCAAAACAATCTATTAAATCATCGACCTCAAAATTCTTACATAACTTCTAATACTCTCAAACAATAATAGAATCACATTATTACTTGAAAGGTAAATTTTCATAAATATTTTCAAATTACAATTAATTATTTCTAACGTCTTCCTAAACCTGCAACAATGATGAATCTGATGCAATTCAATTTTGATGATAAATATATTTGCATCAATTAGAGGTTAATTAATAATCACTTTTAAATGAATTCGTCAAGTTGCCTTACATAAATATAACAAATTATACTATCTATATTTTCCTTGAACCCTAATTTATTCATTCCTCATCTTATTCAATTAGCAAATCACATCATTCTTTAAATACTCATATAACCTTAAGCATATTTCTTTCATGAGATTGCTATTGAAAAATTTCACGATCCTCTGCTTCATTTTTATTGCTTAGTTCTTAGTTATTTCCCATTCAAAAAGCGTACCATACATGAAAAATAAAGTAACAACATCTGCTCCCTTTTCTTTTTCTGTTAGAGCTTTCACTTTGTAGTTATGAAAATTTAAAAGCATTTTTATTTCTAAAACAATATTTAAAAATTATAATTTAAAATTATAATTTTATATTGTTCTTCCTAAGAAAGCAGAATTATTATTTTCATATTACTTCAGATGGCAACAACTGTCGAGAAGCAGAAGAGTGGTCATTGGTTTTATCTTGACTGTATAATTAAATCCTTAATTATGAAATTATCAATATAAATAATTAAATTTGTATATTTATATCAGACCTTTTCTATAAATATTTTTTATTTTCCTATTCTTTCGCTTTCGTAATTTAATGAGGAAAATTGATTATAGGAACTCGATAAGGTTACTTCTAAAATTTAAATTGTAGAACAGATTAATAAAAACTATTATTTTTAGTAAGTTTTAATTTAAACGATAAGTTATTTCTATTAACTTGATTATTTCAGGACTGTTAATCTTCATAATTTTCCTTCTAGAATTATTTTCAGCCAACATTTGTAAGTTGAGCCAATTTGGTAAAGGAGATTTGCCTCTTTTTTATATTTAGTAATTAGCCGATCAAATAGAAAACACAAAGAAATTTTTAAATATTATTAATATTTAAACTAAATTGTATTTAATAAACTCATTCAAACTCAATTTGAAAATAAGATAATTTAATATTAAAGCAAACTAAGATATATTACAATATCAATTCTCAAAGTCTAATAATTAATCATATTTGGGCTTCTATGTTATTTTTGCTTTATGGTATGTGCTGGAAAACAGAAATTCACTACTTTTTTCTTAATCAAAATTATCCTCAACAATTTAGAATTTCAATATTCATACATGTGTAGAGCTACTAAAAAATGTGAATACGATAAACATAATTAATTTAACCACTGAAAAATCTAAACTAAGTGAAGTTAATTTAGAAGAATCAGCAGACTCTATTAATATCTATATAAACGACAAGATTGAGATGGAAAATATAACATAATGTTATTTTAATCCTAAATTAAGTGAAAATATATTCTAGGCATCCTCATCAAATACTGCGATTCTAATTTTTTTATTATTTTCTTTATTTTTCACCTTTCAACTAATAATTGTTAGTTTATTGTAGTTTAATCAGTAACCATAACTGATTGAAAAAGAAAATTATGATATTTTCATTAATTATGAAAAAACATTCGACAGAGTTTACATAAACGGGGTCGAATCTGGAGAGTGAATTACGATTTATAAATCGAAATAAATTCATCTTTTAATTTAGATTGAAGTATGTGATTGTGGTTTAGATTGAATGAAAATATATTATGTATAAAATTTGATAATTCAAAATAAAACGATGAGAAAGAACATCAAAAACAAATGTAAATATGAAAAAAGGTAGGATTCAAATTCTATATGGGTTTTGGATTAAATCAGATATTGATAACTTTAATAAATTATAAGTTATAATTAATTTTTCATTGAGATTTGCTCCTATTTATATATTAGATCAAACTTAAAAAGTTCTAATTCATTGCTAAAAATCTTCAAAAATTAATTATCCAAATTGTTCTTAGCCATTGATTTTTAATTTAAGTATCATCAACCGCATAAATACCCAATAAAATATCTTGGATCAGCTATTGTATCACTTTGAAACACTCTTCTTTCATTACCCCAGATTCAAACATACAAATTATCTTTGGATTATAGATGAACTAAGAAGATTAAAACTTTGTGTGTCTTTAATTAATATATATTAATGTACACACATGAGGCTTCGAATTCATTTCTAAAGATTATAGAGATGTAAAAAAAGTATAAAATTTTTAAATTATTTAGAAATTAATTAAAATTGAAATCAAATATTCAAAAATATAAAAAATCATCCTTATAAAAAAATATTGAAGCTTCGTTTTTGTAGACACATGTTAAAGATAAATTTCATTAATAAAGATGAATCCAGATTATGAAGTCTAGAATCTTTGGTTATGTAACAAATGATGTTGGTTTAGATAATCAAAATTAACTGAGTCTGATTGTTTAAAGTCAGATATAATAGTGAAGGTCAATTAACAATAAGATTTAATGGAACATATTATCCTGATTGTGTGAAAGGACCCTGCCACTATTCTGATTTTATAATTAAACCTCATTTGATTCATCTTTACAGATTCAGTATTCTGTAAATTTAGGAGAATACTCTAATTTATTAATAATTCGTTAAATTCAGAATGCATTTCATCAAATTGTTCATTAATGGTTTGTAGAAGATTTACTTTTCATTAATCATTAAAATGCTTCTATTTTATTTTGGATTTTTTTAGAATAAAAAAATTATCAAAGATTTTTGAATTTATGTTAACAAATATCTTTTTCAAATTAAAAGACAAATAAAGTTTATTTACTTTAATGTTGAGGGATGAGAATTCATGTTTTTATCTAAATATTCATGTAGAAAATGATTGTTTGGTTCCCTGTTCTTCTTTTTCAATCAGTTTATTGTAACTCTAATTTATCTAAATTATTAATGACTGTTTAAACTATAAAATTAATCGAGCTTATGGTATTCTCTTAATTTTGCCAATCTGTGCTTAACTCTAGATTGTTTGCTTTTGTGGGTCTTAAAAGAAATTTTTCTAAAAATTAGGAAAATAGTTGTATACAATTTCTTTTAAAATATCTATTTAATTAACAAGCCTATTGAAATTAGCAAATAGAATCTAAAATAACATTTGAATAAAAAAAACCAATAAGAAAACAAATTATGAAATAAAAAACCATATAATTCTTATTATTGTGTTGTATAAATTGAACTTGCTAGTATAATCGATACGGCACAAATTACTTTCATTAGATGTTGATTAGATTTAATTATCCAGTTATATATGGTTTAATTGCTATAACAGTATAACCGAATAAACAAGTAATACAAAGTTGCATTTTTATTGGAACTAATAGGCCATAACGATAATAATGATTTCTCTTTGCACTATCTCGTTTCCAAGAAATAAGCATGATTTCGATATTCGTTAGAGTAATAACTATGGGCACATTCCCTTCAATCCAATATTCATCTTATATTTTTCTATCAAAATACGGCGAAACGATTTCTCAAGATTGGAGAAATAAATGAAAAATTGCATTTAATAAGCTTTATAACTATTCCAATTCCAAATAAACAAAAAATAACTGTTTTATAAGTAGAAGTCATAATTAAGCTCCAAATTATTCTAAAGTATATTATCAATATATCTTTGATCGAAACTAAAAAGCAATCTAATGAATAAGCTAGTGATTCAATAGTGTTACCAACAGTATTTACTAATGATGCTATTCCAATTGGAACCTGCAATTAAAAGGTAAAAATAGTTGAAATAATTTGAAGATAATTTTTAAATACTGTAATAAGAATTGCTGTTTAAGTTTATTTTATTGTTCCTCCAATTCCAAAAGCTTTCAAACTCAAACCTTTTAAAAATTCTTCAATCATTTCTGCTGTGCTAATCACTGACATCAATGTTGAAATAATGGTCCAATGGCTCAAACAAATTATTGTTATAACATTATAAGCTATTATATCGCGACTTCTGCATGAATATGCTGAACTTACAGAATATGACCCATTTCCTCTATAATCGTATTAATCACACTATTCACATAAGAGTCCAATATGTCATAATATACATGATTCATCCCCTGGGCCTTAGTAATTCTACAACAAATGATAACAATTTTCAATGTTTTGAGTATAATAGCAAGCTCTCCAATAAAGTTCCCTTATATTTCTATCATATTTGATTCAATGATATAATTTTTGAATCATCCTTAGAACATCCACCAGAAGTTTGATTTAAGAATTTGGCTAATTAACAAGGAAATTTTTGAATTTCAACAAATAATTTATAATTCAAGATATCAGTATATTTTTAAAAGACGGACTCAATTTATATTAAGGAACTGAAACACTTTCTCATTAGATTGAAAACTGAAGAACAATATCTTAATCACTAGTAGAATTAAAGGAAATTATTAGATTATCTAAATTATAGTTGTCTCATTAAATAAAACATCATATTAGGATAGGCCAAATTAGACATTATATTATACTCTTTAAGAACCTAAGTTAAATGCTTTTGGGTAAAATGTACAATAAGTTCCTGTCAAACCCCTAATTTATTCCTTAAACTGGTGGAACACCTAGATGTAATTTAATTTTAATATAAGGAGAGTGAAATGCCATAAGAAAAACTAGGCCTAAGCCTTTGATTTTTCTATATCGTAGCTTATGAAAATACATCTTTGTTTTTGCTATCTAGGTAAACTTTACAATACCTATTTTTTTTTTTATAATTAAGAGTTTTTGTATTTTAAAAGAATATTCATCTTCATTAAAAAATTGAATAAATTTTTTTTAAATTATTTTATATTGTAATCTATCAATTAGGAAATTCTATAAAAGTTGTTGTAGGGGTTGGAAAGTTTAACCTCAATAGTTTAATATTTCTAACTTAAACCTGATATTTAAACCAACATTAATATCTTTTTTGAGCAATTATTACTATTCAATAATTTGATTTAAAGGTGAAAATTTTAAATGCTTCCTCGAAATTAATTTTCTACTTTTGAAAGGATTTTGATCAAATTTTTCAATATCAAAAAATTGGTTAACTTGCTGCTCCAAAGTGTCTATTTCTCATCTGTTTTTGAAGGAATTGTCTATATTTTCACATAAAGTAAAAAAAATGGATGTGTGTAATTTTATATATTAATTAGAAATAATAACAAATTTTCATTGTTTATATTATTAAATTTAGTTCTTTTGTATCAAACTTCTTCTTTATTACATAATTCCCTCAAGTCTATGCCAGATTGATTAAAAAATTCTCCTTTCTTGATTAGAGCATCTTATGATTAAAATATTAGCTATTTTGATATTAAAAGGATAGTGACAATTGAAGGAACTAAATAATAATGAAATATAAATACCACTTTCTAAAACATTATTCTTAAATACTGAAGGGTAAAATTATGATGAAAAATCTTTATCACAATTCTCTGTCCATTGTAATAATAAAAATAATGAAACACTCAATTTCATTTCTTAAAATATTATTTTTAAGATCAGTCCTATACCAAAATTGTATGACTGACAATGAGAATGATTGTATATATTCAGATTTTTAAATTGTGGGAACAATCAAATCAAATACTGGTACATGTGGCTCAGGTTCTAAAAATGTATTTATGGGGCCATTTGGTTTATAAACTTTAGTTACTTATCATATTCCCTACCTTATCCCCAACAAATTAGTGGACCTTTCACTTGGAATATGGAAGTTTGACTCTTGGGATCATGAAGTATTAGAGATTCGGATAAATAATGATCTAATGGGTAAATTGGAAGCAGAAACTCATGATTATCCCAACTTATGCGGAATTGAAAATTGGGGAGATCACCTTTACCCTTTTTCCTTTTAGTATTATCTAACAGATACTCATTTTACATTAACATTAAAAGACTTTTTAGATTAAGGCATAGCTGATGGTACGTGTTGAATAATTTTTAGAATCTTGGGGATTCAGAGATTTTGTTTTGAAAATTTCACCTCAATGTGTTAATTTTTATAGTGAATGTAATTATTCTGGAGAATTCTTCCAAATATGCAAAGGTGATAAAACTACCAGATCTACAAACTTACCCTATGAGATAAAATCGATTATGATGGATTACGGCATCATTGTGAAAATAAAAGATCCAGACTAGTTCGGAGGTGCTTTATAAGAGTTTTCGTCTTCATAACCCTGCATAGGTGCATATAAGGTACTCCTTTAAGAATCAACTTTAGTTCCCAAAATATATTCCATAATGATATATAGATATAATTACATAACAAAAATTCATTTTTAAATTATTCAACCTTTGGATTCGAATCTTAATAGATTTCATTTAAAGATTATAAAAATTGGAAATATACAATTTCCAAAAATACTTATATTAACGAATGTGAAAAGGGGGTAATTGTTTTAAAATGAGTAAACTTTTCATTCCTGATGTATGGACGAGGCTTAATGACTATTAGATTATCGTCAAAAATTATTTTTGGGTTGGTAGTGTAACTAGTTTTTAGTATTTGTTTAAAGTAAGTAATTTTTTTTAGTTAAGAAAAAACAATTGTGTGAATTTGAGAAAATCAGTAAAAATCAAAAAAAATTAATCGGAGACCTAGACTAGAAGGCAACGAGTCCCGGTCCCTACAGGAAGACCTTCTACATGAAGGCCACTGGATTAGTAGTACCTCTAGAGAGACCGTGTGGAAGCCCGACTGTTTTGCTTGACTCGTTCTGCCTGTTGCTAGGTATTAACTACCTTGAAGTGTGGTGGCCAAGTCACTCTGGGTATTAACTTGGTTAAAACGAACCTTACTTATGACCTACCTATACTGCGAGAGTATTAGTTAAAACGAACCTTACTTATGACGTACCTATACTGCGAGACGCGAAGGCAAAAAATCCCCGGCTGTGGTTTGGGTTTTGGGTTTTGGGTTTGGGTTTGGGTTTG